TTACGTAACAGTTCAGTACTCTTTGTTGCTAACGATGTTTTTCTGTTTCTTAATACTCTGCTTAGCTTTTGGAAGGCATCTTTGGTCATCTCAATGCGTCTTCGGATCTCAGTGTCGCACTTTCTCTCCTCCCTTAAAACGCTTCACAGAATTCCTTTTGCTAATAAGCCTGCATTCTCTCTTCTTACAGTAAATATTTAACCCTTTTTCTTCGTTTTCCTTCACTACCTTCTGTAGGATTTCTTGCAGTTACCTGTCTGTGCCTGTTACCAACACTATATCATCTGCATATCTTATGTTGTTAAGATTGTGGCCACCAATAATGAATCCTGGTAGGACTTCTGATTCTGTCAGAATCGCCTCACTATATAAGTTGAATAAGTCCGGTGAGAAGTCACATCCTTGTCTTACAGTTTTTTCTATTTTTGTATATTTAATGAACTAATTTTCAATCCGTATACAAGCAGTTTGCTGACAGTATTATCTTCTGAGAGGATACATAATGAAAAAGGCACTAAACATAATAAAAACAAAATTTTATCCTCAAAATAATTTTTGTAAATACGGATGTCCATGCACGACATTATCAGAAAATAAGAGCGATAACTATAATAATTTTAAAATTCTTTGTTAATATTCTAAAATTTCTTCAATCTTTGTAAGTAAGACTATAACGCTAAAGTATGTAAAATTCAATAAAATATTAGAATACTTAAAATATTTAAAAAAATTTAAGATTGCTGGAAAGGGGGTGCAGAATTAATTTCAACATCACCCACCGCGACGCGAATGAGTCCGAAATTTTATTGTCGATAACTCCAAAACAGTAGATTTTCTCAAAATTTCTTTGTTATTTTCGAATTAACGATGTACATTTACACTTAAATGGAACTATTCGGGAAATTTTTATTAGAAGCTGAGCGCGGGACTTGAACTGCAAATTACCCTTTTGAGGTTCTGAGTTAAAATTAGTTCTGTCACCCGTTAAAAGAAATTATGGGAAAAAGGCATTTACATTGTATTCGTCATGTAATTTTATTTCTATTATGTACCCGCTTTTTTAAATTTCTCAAACATCGGTCTGCCAAGCCAATTACTCACCACCTCAAAAACACCCTTATGTCTTAAAAAGATGCTTTTCTTTAATATTTTAAGCGGAAAGTAATATTTGTTTAAAATAAGAATAATTAAACTTTAAATCAGCTAATCTTTCTCGGATAACGTTTCAGAAAAGTATATTTTATTTTTGAAATATTTTTTATAAAGAGAATTATTATATAATCAGTGGTGTATTTAGGGTATTCTAAGTAAGGCACGTGCCATGGGCTCCATTTAGTGGTGAAAAAGGCGCTACGATGCCACTGAACAAATAATTTGTACTGTAGTATACATGAACTAGGCATTAAGTGTTAAATCTTCTGTCATGTTGGGTTTGGATGTTGCCAGTGACAGTTTTTATTTCTTCAATGTTTATTGGTTTTGACAAAGTTGCATCAGCGAAATTAAGGGATGTGCACTGCTGAACATGATATATCTTGTGATTAATAATGGAGTGGTTTCCAGTTGACTTCTCTACGGTGGTTTATGGAGACAACATCTCTAGTTAGCTGGTCGTTGACAACCTAAGATACACAGATGACACAGTACTGGTAGCAGACACGGAAGAGAAATTACAAAACCTCCTACAAAAGGTAGCGAAGGAGAGCGAGAAGAAGGGACTAAGCATAAACTACAAGAAAACAGAATACATGGGCATCAGTAAAAAGGAGCCCGAAATGCGATTTATAGGTCGGGGACACTAAAATCAAGCCGGTGCGGAAATTTAAATGTCTGGGAAGTGTTTTGACAGAGGACGGTAAGTGCGATGCTGAGATCCGATGACGTATTGGGATGGCCAAAGACGCATTCCAAAACCTGGGCAGAGTATTACGAGACAGGAGGATTTCCTTGGTAACCAAGAAAAGAGTACCGAGCTGCTACGTGACATCTGTCCTCCTTTAGGGCAGCGAATGTTGGACGGCCTCCTCAAAGATGAAGAAGAGACTCGAGGTAACGGAGGTATGGTTCTACAGAAGGATGCTAAGGAGCAATGATGAGGTTTTGAAAGGATGCAAACAAGGAGGAAACTTATACTTAACATCAGGAAGAGGCAACTGAAATTTCTGAGACACGTAATGAGAAAGGAGGGCTTGGAGAATCTGATACTTACAGGTCGAATAGAGGGAAAGAGAGACAAGAGAAAGCAACGCATACCTAGCGGGTTAAGGAAGTGGATGACAGAACATGGCCTGGGGGAAGTAGCAAAGGAACAAAACTTATTGAAAGCTACAAGGGATAGGAAGAAGTGGAGGGCCATGATCGCCTACGTCCTGAATGGACACGGCACATAGAAAGAAAGAACTGCTGAACAGGCACCTTTCTTAATTCTTTGTTTCCACTTGACTTCTTGCAGTACTTAATAGCAATATTCGTCTTGTCGTGCTGTTGATATCGAAAATATTGAAATATTGGAGCGATATTGGTAATGAAACACTAAAATGTGATTTTGTAGTGTCCTCACGTGTTAAAAATGTTTCCTTGTGGTGCCATTATATAATATTTTATTATCATGGCACTTAAAATGTCTTTTCGTATGGATTGAGGTCATATACTGTAAAAGATTTGATTTCGTGATATTTGGAATACCATAATTTCATAAAAGAATATGTTCATTTGGTACCATCATAGCGTCAAAATTTAAATTCCCTTCAAAGAAGATATAAGAAATAAAAGATAGCTTGTTGACGTGCCATAATTTATCATATATCTTATACTTCTGCTTGTCTCCCCATTACTTAGCACGGTCATTACGTCCTGCCGATACCTCATAATGCGCTAGTCAATTTTGGTCGCGTGGAAAGACGAAAAAGATATAGTAAGAAAATTAAATAAATAAAAAAAAAAAAAAAAAAGAACAGAAAATAGAAAATGTTAAACGTCTCCAACCAATACCTCATAAATAATGAACTATTCCATTCTGATTGCTTGGATAGGATGGAAAAAACATATCAAAGTTGCTACTTGTTGTCAGTGACAAAATGAAATAAATGAATGAATAAATAAATAAATAAATAAATAAAGAAAGAAAGAAAGAAAGAAAGAAAGAGAAAATAGAAGTGTTTAACGTCCGTTTCAGTGAAATGGAAAAAGTTGTCAGTTTCAATTTTTTTATATTTGTACCCACTTCTTAAACTAATGACCAGCATTCATATTTATGATTGTTATTGCAATATTTTGGTAAAGTTGTTGTGTAGGAACCTACCACCCCTCTTGAAGATGAACTCGTCTACAAACAAGAATGTTAACTAGTGGCATGTAAAAAGACAGTGTTGAAGAAGTTCTGAGCTGAGTTAGTTATAGACTACTCAGGTGATATCTGTACCAACTTACCAACCGAATAAACCCCATTTTATTGTTACATGTTATTTGGCGTTTGTCTTTATTAACCCAAATTAACATCATAACAGTTGTTAAGCTCAAATAGTTAACGATGTGATGGGGGAAATTCTTCAGATATTTTATTGTTATAGAACTGACTCAATCATTAACTTAAGAATTAAAATTCATTAGAAAATTGAAATAGGAAAATTATCACTAGTATTTCTAGTATATATTAATGGTCATGGTTTTTATCACTAGTATTTCTAGTATATATTAATGGTCATGGTTTTTGAACTAATAGATCTACTCTGCACTTTGATAGCGTATCAGATGTTTAATTTGTGATCTAGCTTTAGAGCCTTGTCAAGGGCTCCAATTTTTACAGATATGACTCAGTATTTGTACCCACTTCTGAAAATAACAACCAGTATTCATATCTATGATTGTTATTGTAATATTTTGTTAAAGTTGCTATGCTCAAATATGTAACAATGCGATAGGAGAATTTCTACGGATATTTTATTGTAGAACTCGCCATGAGGTTAATCAATCATTAACTTAAGATTCATCAGAAAATTTAAATAGGAAAACTGAAATTATCGCAGGTTTTCTAGTTTTGTTAAAGTTGTTAAACTCAAATATTTAACGTTGCGATACGGGAATTTCTACAGATATTTTATTGACATAGAACTCGCCATGAACTTAATCCTTAACTGAAAAATAAGGATTCATCACAAAATTCAAACAGGAAAACCATGAAATTTTCACTGGTATTTCAAATATATATTAATGGTTTTTGAACTAATAGATCTACTCTACACTTTGGTAGCGTATCAGATGTCTAGTTTGTGATCTAGCCTTAGAGTCTTGTCAAGGGCTCCACTTTTTACAGATATGACTCAGTATATAATTATTAAATATGGCTTTGTGATCAAATATATACCCTTGTGTAAATTAATTGAAACGAAACGAATAATATCGTTATTTACTTTTTTTCGTATTTTTCCAATGAAACATGACCCAGTACACATGTTAGTACTTCATATGTCCATTCCACGAAGTCGTTCCTTGCAGATTGACCACAGATTCTCGATTGGATTTAAATCAGGAGAGATTCCGGGCCAGTCTATAGTACTCTGTATTGCTCATTGATAAGGTTTGCCAATGTATTCGTGCAGCGTTGCAATTTTCGTACACTTCCTTGGAGTAAAGTCTATCGCAGACAATGGCCGTAGGACAACTAATCGACAGTCGAGACAATAGTGACTGGATGTGCTTAAATCCTGATTCAATCACGGATGACGCAATATTTTTCAATGCAAAACAAATTTCATTATACATCCCGAAAATAAATTCATATTACTGCACACCACTGCAAATAACCTAATTTGAGGGGTAAATCGATTACACCCTGTCACTCCTGTTGGTTTAAAACTGACCGTATGATGAAAGAAAAGAAACTAAGCGGCTGTTTTAATTAATTTGCACAAGGGTGTATGTTGTCGTTGTTTCAGATTTCTACCTTGCATTCTGCTTTCCGTTAACACTAAACCATATCCATTAATAAACTTTCTTTTCAGCTTAGTTCAATTTTTATCACACTTGATATGGAAGATAATGACATCGGACCTGAAGGCTGCCAGTGCATTGCAGAGATGTTATTAGAAAATAATTCGATTGAGGAAGTGGTGAGTAATAATGACTTTTTGAATGTGATCTTTTAGGGATGATAATATGTGGATTAGTACAAGAAAGGCCCTTTTTATTATTACATTTCTCTATGTTGTGAACCTTTAGGATGTGGCTCTCCACAGCTTTCTATTATTGTTGGTCTCAATAACACTTTCTCCTTTATTACTCCTATTCGTGGCACTTGTTTCTCAATGCAGTTTTTTAATCATTTCACTCCGAGCAAAGCAATAAAGCCACTAAGACGCAAGGCGGGGGTTGTTAGAGAATACACGAAAAAAACATTATTAAGAAGAGAGAACAATGAAAGAACAGAAATTAAGAAGACAGAAGATAACGATTGATATTGCATTTAAATTTTTGAAGGTTAAAGTTGACAGGAAATCAAGAAGCTGGAAACATCTAGCCATTTCAACTGTAAAATGATGAGACCTTGCCGCCAATCTAGTACTGCACTTGAATTCATAAAAGTCTAGGTACCAAAGAGGAAACAATTACCATGAAAGAATTTATAGAAAAGGTGCCAGGAAGCTACGTTACGGCGATGGGAAAATGACTGAAGTCGAGATGTCAGGTCAGGACCAATAACATTGCAGATTCTTCTTTGGAAAAGTTGAATGGGCGGTTAGTATAACGGATATTGACACGGAAAATTTAATCGAAGTGCCGATTTCTAAATCCGGTCTCGTTCATTTTTTGCAAAAATGCTATCGGGAAAGGCATGAAACCCTTCTCTCCCCGTCCAGCTATGGCATACTCTCCAGCTTTGTCTGCCAACCAGTCTAAGAGAAGGAAAACACTCAGTTCCAAGCCGTTGAGAGGCAACAGGAAATCACCCTACTATCTTCTTTGCATTCCCCCACCTCTCTCTCTCTCTCTCTCTCTCTATTGTAGAAAAATCACGTGGTAGAGATAATCACTTAGTTGTGGAGCAAGCTAAGTGAACCATAATCCAACCTTTAGAAAGAGAGCTATTTATGTTGCCATAGAGCATCTCATTGTGCTAAAGTGGGATAGTCCATTGCTTGGGCTGTGATTGGCTGCTGGTACCTGAGTGGAGGTATTTCTATATAAATACCAGCTTGATTCATCTGTTAGTTTGCAGGGTTTGTATTAAGTTACAACCTGCTTTATTTTTGTCTGCCAGCTGGACGCTAGCTGGGACCTTTACACCGGTAAGTGCTGTTTATTATTGTTATTCTATATATATATATATATATATATATATATATATATATATATATATATAACCCATATTAAATAACCCATTGAGGTTGATATGCCGTAAAACGAAATAAACCAAACCAATCTAAACCAAAGAATACATATTCTATTCATACGAATCTATCCTAAAAATGTTGTCGGCATTAAATAACCCATTGAGGTTGATATGCCGTTAAACAAAATAAACCAAACTAAACCAAACCGTCCAGGAATCCCGTCAACTGATTTCATCAGGAAATCTTGTGGTATGGAAGACATGACATCTTGTATTCATCCTACAAGTTCTTCGAAGTCTTGGTTTGGCACAGTAGACTTGCTCCTTTAACCAACTCCAAAGAAAAAAGTCACAGGGTGTTAAGTCAGGACTCCTGGCTAGACACTCATATGTAAAATAGGGAGTTACTTTTAAAATACTCTCTCTCTCTCTCTATTATATATATATATACATATAAATTATATAGAATAGTAATTCAAAATACATACATACTTGCGCATACATAGAAGATAATGACATACATAAACATGCTCCTGCATAAAAAATATACACACACAAAAATTCAACTATAATACAATAACAATAAACCAGACGTCACTGGAGAAAGCGAGGAGGGGAGGAAAGAATGAGAGAATAAGAATAAAAGAAAAAGAAAAGGAAAGGAAGTAAAATCAACAATCAGCGCCCATCGAACAAAAACGGAAAACAACGCATTCAAGTACAAAGAAATCGAGAAGTATTAACAGTTTAACACTGTTCTGAAGAGTAGTTGCATCTAACTACGAAGCGTTGAAGTAAACATGAGTTAAGTGAAAATATTATATTAATCATATATATATATATATTTATATATATATATATTAAGAAGAAGCGAGAAACCACAAACATTTTTGGTTGTAATATGGATTTTTTTTTTTAAATATTATGCTTTATTTTCCATAATTTTGCTACAAGTGTTTCCGGCCTCGCGACTATCATCAGGCAAAGGGTGGAGATTTCCACATATAATTAAAAATAATTAATTTTTTTTCTTTATGTTTTGAATAATTTTCAATATGTGGAAATCACAACCTTTGCCTGATGACGGTCGCGAGACCGGAAACCCCTGTAGCAAAAATATGAAAAATAAAGCATAATATTTTTTTTTAAAAATCCACATTACAACCAAAAACGTTTGCAGTTTCTCTCTTCTTTTTAATATACACACTTTTCTTTCGTTGGAACTACTATAACGTCTTCCTTATATATATATATATATATAAAGAATTAATGGATTTATTTTTAATCGGACATTTTGATTACTCCAAACGTTATTTTAGTGGGTATTTTGGATTTTAGAAACATAACCCAATACATTTCGTAACGTTAACGATAATTTCAAAATTCACTGACCGAAATTCACATCTGAAAAGCTGTAGATTACGTTAAAAGTGGCTATTGTTTTCAAGTCTGCAGTGACAAATCTATTTGACAAGGACAAAATCATAATTGTTTGTTCGGTAATATTCACAATAGAATTTTGAATATGTCAACAAAATGATAGTCGGCATTTTTAAAACAAAGTCCGTGGTTAGATAATGAATATAATGAAATAAAAGCCAAAAGAAATTTGCTTTTATCAGCTGATTAGGTAGATGTGTGGGGTGGCGATAGAAAATGATTTCAGGCGAGAAAAAGACAGAGAGCGAGAGAAGATATGAGGTTAGTAGCATTGAACATACAAGTGATGTATATATATATATATATATATATATATATATATATATATATATATATATATATATATATATAAAAGTGTACATTAAAGTCAACACGCAGAGGCGACAGACTGTTTCATGGTGGACGCAGTCATCAGGCGGCATGACGATTGCGTCCAGCATGAAACAGCCTGTCGCCTCTGAGTGTTGACTTCAATGTACACTTTTATAGTTATATTTACAAACGCTCTATCTCTGAAATTGAGCACTTTATCCCATAAATGTAGCACACCTTAAAACTATGTTTATTCATATATATATATATATATATATATATATATATATATATATATATATATAGTAGAAACACTACTTACAAACACCTCCGCTTAAGAATAAAATCACCATACAAACAAAAATTTGTCAGAAATTTCCACTTACGAATTAATTTCGACTTACGAAAGAATAGACTTTCCGCTACTGGATTTCAAACTTGATATTTGATACAAATGTACCGTAAATACTTTTTAATCTAAATATACTGTATTTTATTTTTTTATGTTTTATATATTATATCATTATATATTTTATGTATAATAATATAATTATTATATATTTTATAGATAATAATATAATACCGTAGTATTTATACAGTATTACAATACTTTTTATACTGTATTTTTATACTGTACTAAATATTTGCAGATATATTTTATACTGTATTTTTTATTCTTATATTATTATGTTTTATATACAATGTACATTATTATAATATATTTTATGTACATCAATGTATTAAATTATTATATAGTAGATATTTCTATAAATTTCCATCACACAAGATGCTGCGAGCATTGCATTATCCCGTTCAGTCCTCTTTGTTACCTCGTAGAATAAACATTTGTTGTAAACGCATATTTGTGATTATATTAGGGAAAGTGTAAATGAATTAATAATGTGCAAAAATTTATGTATAGTAACGAATACAGTACATGTACATTACTGTATAGTACAGTAACATGTAAATTTTATTAAAATTTATTGAATTAAAAGTAGGTAAAATGTAACAATGCTGAGTTCGTTTCGTTTAATCTCTATGTAATTTAAAGTGTATTTTAGTCTAATATACAGTGTATAATTATTGATTTTTAAATTGATATCAAACTACGCAGTAAAATAAACTATGGATCCAGTTCAGGTTGATTTGTATGGTAGGTTTTATCACTGTAGTTTGTTCCTTGACATTTTCCAGACAATTGCTATGTGATAATACCCTTGGGAAAGGTAGGAATCCTCTTCTTCTCCCCCCACAAGCTATGGGTAAATAGCAGGACATCTCGGGTTCTATAGCTTTGGATAGAAACTGGTCTACCGCAGAAAGAAATGGCAACCTACTGCGGGGAAAAATAAATCTGCCTCGTCAGTCATGTATCGAAAGATACATGATCGCCTAAGCGTGTAACACGCATGGCACATAACTGACTGACTGACAGTTTAATGTGACTGTACATGTACAATAAATTTTAAATTTTAGTGGGTAATATTTTGACAATTTTTGTAACTCATGATGATGTCACCCAAGAAACTGGTTGCTACTAAGAAGAGGGGAAAATATCCGTGCAAATGAAGGAAGGGATTATTTAGAAGCATGAAGAAGGTACCCGTGTTTCTGACCTTGCCAATCTATACGGACGTTCAGCATCAACAATTTGCATTATCCTAAAGAACAAGATAGAAATAAAAAAAAGGGAGTTAGCATAATTACCAATCATTGTCCAAAAACCCAAGAAGATGTTGAGAAGCTGTTGTTGGTATGAATGAATGAGAAAAGCAGCTACGAAGTGATTCTGTGTCTGAAGATATGACATGTGCAAAGGCAAGGGCCCTGTACGTGGATCTTAGCAGAAAAATACCAGCCACGTCTTCTGAAGACGAAAATGTATTTAAGGCAAGCCGAGGATGGTTTGAAAAATTTATAAAGAGAACTGGCATCCACAGTTTAGTGGGACATGGAGAGTCTGCGAGCTCCGATAAAGCTGCCTTGTTTCAGAGGTATTTTAAAGTGACCGAAAATACAAACCTGACCCTAAGAGAATCTTGGAAGGATCACTTCAATATCGCAAATTACTTAAATCTCATTGATAAAGCCTGGGAAGTAGTCACAGTAATATATTTATTTACATTATTTGTGTATAATCTTTAAAAAGTACTTCAATTGTGCATAAAATAGATTTTTATTGATTTTGATATCAATATTTTTGGGGATTGGAACGAATTTAATTTCTATTTTTTAAATGGGGAAAATTGTTTCGACATATGAAATTTCCAGTTACGAATCCACTCCTGGAACGGATTAAATTCGTAGGTCGAGGTTTCACTGTATATATATAATTGATGTAAGTAAAAGGTTTGTCACTTAGCTGATTGATGTTACCTTCAGCATCCTCACTCCAGAGTTTCGTAGACAGACCTGTTCGTCCACTCGTCTGGGGGTATCAGCAATTGACTGCTTATACTTCACGATTTTTCTTTTTTATATACACTTATTGGTGCAAGTTCTTTGTGCGTGTGTGTATGTGTGTGTGCGCGCGCGCGTGTCCATGCGCCCGCATGGCCATGCGCCCGTCTGCGTGGATGTGCGTACGTGTAGGGTATCGTGATTATTTGTCCTTTTCTTCGTTTTTTTAATATACACACCTCACCTCAGTTCTTTCCTCTTTTCTTTCAATTGTAGCTATTTGTTGTTCTTTAATTTCCCGTTATATTTCCTCGACATGTTCTTTTTCATTTTTGAGCGCTCTCGTCTTTTCTTTAGTGACGAAAATTCTATTTCATTTTTTATATAAATAACTGATTTTAATGTATAAATGATAAAGTAGCTATTTATATATGTCTTCACTTGGCTATTATTTCGTTTTCTTATTTGGTTCGGTGGTATCTTCAGTTGAGCACTGTTAAAATATTGATTATAGGGAGTTAGGTTTATAATTAAGTTTTTATTTATTATTGTCTGAATTTGTGTGCATATGTCTGTATTTATACGCTTGCGCACACGTACACACACATATATGCATATACGCATATAGATGTACACACGCGACATATATACACATATAAACGCGCGTATACAAGCACATGTAGACTTGTCCGTGCGTTGTCATTAATAAAGTAGTCCTTAAAAATGGTAGTTATTTTTAGGGTATTAATTATGGTTGGTTGGGTTTATGGAGTATTATTTGTTTTTTGTTTTTTACTGTTTGTATATATATATATATATATATATATATATATATATATATATATATATAGTGTATACAGTATATACTCCTGTATACTCACGCACACACGTACATATTTTAAATAGTGAATATGTAGTAAACTTAATATTTGCTTATATCATATGTTATCCTTTATCTAATGTTTCATTTTTATTTAATGGTTAGTTGTTTATTTATTTGGGTGTTATATTTTAAAAGATTAATTATGGGAGGTTAGGTTTGTTCGTTTGTAGTCGTTTGTTTGTTTTTTTTTTGTGTGTGTGTGTGTGTGTGTGTGTGTGTGTGTGTGTGTGTGTGTGTGTGTGCCTGTGTATGGATATATTTATATGTACATACACACACGAGTATAGATGTTTATATTTAGTAATTGTTCGTTTATTTATTTATAAATATTTTTAAAAGTTTAAATTATATTTATTTCATTTATTTATTTATTTAAAGTTTACATATTTATTTTATTTATTTGTTTATTTTGAATTAGAGCTTACATTTACCCATTATTTCAGTTTTGTTGTTTAAGAGTTTATTTTGTTTGTTAAAACTAATTATTGCTAATTTTCCTCTACTATATGAGGCTACTCATTTTATAATTTCACATTTGAATTTGGTGGGATATAGTTTTTTGGGCTCCATATGTATTTTGATAGGGCTGTATTGTTTGTGTATGTTTTTGTTTCGAATGACATTTTGTAATATCTTTAAAAAAGATTTTGTGGCTCTTATGTAAATTTTTTCGTTTGTATTAATGTTATTATTTACGATGGCTATATATATATATATATATATATATATATATATATATATATATATTCATACACGTTTCATTAAATAATATATTGACAAGTGTTGTCTATTTATTTTATGTAAATTTTTTTCGTAACATCTGATAAATTTAATAACATTATCGTTGAACGAAGAAAGAAATTCACAATATTGATCCATATTTTTTTTTAAATACAATCTAAGCTTTCGGCTTACTTAAGCCATTATCAAAGATGTCAATTACAACATATTAAACAATATAATTTTTCTTTTGCTATTTCAATTTGCCTTTTCACAAGGCTACATTTCCAAGTATTGATAGTATTGTGGATCGTGTAATTTAACTTGTCTGTATTATTTAATGAAACGTGTATGAATGAAAAGATGCTGTCTAAATACACACATTCACTTACGTGCTAAGATATGAATCCATCTCTTCACCCCCAGATATTGATGAATAGGTGAACGGTCTAGGAAAATGACAACTCTGAATTTAAAACCCGCAGAGTATCTTTTGGGGACCGTGTGGCATACTGTGCACTAGTTCCCTGTATTCGACTCTTCCAAAAAGTGTGGTTGATGTAGGCCTCCCTGTTGAGTCTGAGGCACTGGCCAACAAATTCGGAGGTTCTTTTCCTATCAGAAGGATCAAAGTATGTTTTCTGAGCGGCCGAACCTTCGTAATCACCATTAGACTCATTCAAGTTTTTCCGAATCTTCTGCACTGTCCTCAGATTGACACCCAAACACTTTGAAATGTTCTGTCGTGGTGAATTGTGTCATGATACTCTTTTTCTCGCAGAATTCGGAAATTAGCCCTTTTAATCTTAGTTGTTCTCGTTCTACTTCTCATGTCTAGGGATTTCTAGTCTAGTTCTTATTTTTAGTCCTGCTCAGTTATTTCTCGCGTGGCAACCACTGAATCCAAGTACGCACAGCCCAGTGATTGAACTCACAGTCAGCAAATTCACGAACCAATGCTTTAATCCACTAGTCTACTGCCGCGTGGGACAATTCTCAGTAGAGAACATGTAGCTTTAAACCTAACCTTCCTGCTGATAAGTGTTGCTGATGTCATGTTTAACTGCACTCTCCGAAGCTTTTCACTTTTGTTACAACGGCTGTTGAAAACTTGTTGTCATTTGCTTTTCTTTCTTTATTATGCCCGCCACCCCACCCCGCTAATAAAGATATAGTGAAATAATGGTTGAATAAAGTCGTGCTTCCAAAAGATTGATGTTTTGGTATGTGATCAATCGTTGAATGTATTCTGATGAACACAAATTGTTGTAGCATAACTAAGGACGATAATGAGTATGTTCCCATTCACATAAATACAGTAGTAAATACTGTATATTGATCTGCAGTTGGAGATTCATTGTGGAAGTCACTTGACTCACTTCTAGCAGTTGACTACTTCTTCTGCGCGCCGCTGGTGAATCTTATATGTGTTGTTCTTGTCCTAAGTATTATCGGTCATTACCAGCCTTAGTGTGATTATTCTATTCAGTAAGCTTCTCTGGGTTACAACACAAATTGACTATTTTGAAAACCTCTCGCGGGCAACATTGGGTAGCTTCGAGGACCTAGAAGGCTCACGGACCTCGAAGGCTCACGGGCCTCGTGCGGTTCACAGGCCTCTTTCGGCTCACGGGCCGCATTTTCTCCCGGCCTGATGTAAATTCATGCTAAAGATTTTGCTGTCTCATCCACCAATTCAGAACAAACATTTTTTTTTCTGCTTTCGTTATCATCTATAGATATTCTTGAATCGCTTCCATCCAATTCGCTGCCAGTCTAATGAGACTCTGAACAAATAAATTTACCATGAGATATATCTTATCAGCTGCGCCTTTGGTGGCGAAGTAATAAAAGTAATATAAAACGTCAGTTCAATCGTACGTTGAGTTCATATAGCCTGTGTCTAATGGATTCAATTTAATTTGCAGAACCTGGCTTACAATAATATTGGTTCCCATGGTCTGGCTTGCATCAGTCGCGTCTTTAAGAATAACATATCTATTTCAAAACTAAATCTCTCAGGTAAAGTATCTGGCTTACAACAAAGCCAAAAGTCTTTTTGCAATATGACAACAGTTGAACATTGACATTAACGCTTCATTTTACAGTTTATTTTTTTGTTTATAAACTATCATTGAAGTTGATGGGCTTACCAAATATATGTAGCTGGCTGTGGTAGGTAGGAAGAAAATGAGTAAATACTGACACCGAGGTTCGAGCGTGACACTCTGGACTTATGAATATATGCTTTCCGTCAGGCATATAAATAGCGATGTCAGGCTACTGACTGAAGTGATTATTGAGTGACTATTGAGTGGAACTATTCAGTTGAATTAGAGTGAATTATTGTGAGTCGATGTTTTGGGTTTTGATTTAGGTTCTGAAACGAAACTTCAGCAAAAGCAGTTGTATTTCTATAGAAGTTATTTTTAATGCAATTTTATTTCTATAGATTTCTGTGATCAGGAACTCAAGACTTCAATATTAAGATAAAAAGAGTATTTAGTTACAACCACCAATAAATACTTAACAAGAACAAAGAGGTAAAAGTCAACCAAAGATAATTAACCATTTCAGTGAATGTCTTGTTAGTAGCGTGACTCGGTTTAATGTCCGGTAAATCCTAAATCAAAAACCCAAATCATCGACGCACAATAATTCACACTAATTCGACTGGATAGTTCCACTCAATAGTCACTCAATAATCACTCAGTAATCACTGCAGTCAGTAGCCTGACACTGTTTATTTATACACCTGGTGGAAAACATATTCATAAGTCCAGAGTGTCGGTAGTTACTCATTTTCTTCCTATATGACAATAATGTAAATTCATTGATAATGATTTACTATAGAATACGTGTAAATGTAATTCTGATGCTTTATTATAGAAGTTTATAGAAAATAAAAGAAAGAAAAAAGAATGCGTCTCTCGCTAGTCAGGAATTAATGCTCGCTTTACTAAAAACACAGTTTTTATTTGTATAATGTAAATACATTGCAAATGAATTCATTACAGTATGAATTGAAAATCAGGAGATTGTTAATGATCAAGAATGAATGCAAGCATTACTGACAGAATAGGGCTGTTAATGTGTAATTCATTTCAGCCTTACAAATGTTTTGCTATAGAAATACATTATAAATGGTTTCATTATAGAAATGCACTGAACTGAGAACCAGGCTATTAATATAAATGCATTACTAATTATTTTATCTTAGCATGACATGATTTTATTATAGAAATGCACTGAAAATAAGAAAGGAAAGAATTGTCTATAATTAGTGAACAATGCATTTTTTACTAGCAGAAAATTAAAGCTAATATATAAACGTATTACAAATGATTTTACAATAGAAATTCATTGAATATCAGGAAGAAAGGGTTTATAAGTACACTATTTACATTATTCGGACTATTGTCCTCATCTTTGTCGCCATGTTTATCACAACGCTCCAGCAATCTTCAGGTGGTTGGAATGTCGAACTGAACCCTTTATTTCGCTCACTGGGGTTGACTGTTCTAGTTCCACGTGCAATGTCTAATGGATGTCAGTTATTTCTTGTTAATTCCCCTCTCCAAGATCTCCACCGCCTTAACAAGGTATTGAACGGACATACTTTGGGTCCTGTCACTGGACCTAACTAACGCCTTTATCCACTGTGCTATGTGTCCTTGTGTATGAATTTCTGGGTATTATAAACCTAATGTCTTCAGCCTCATTTTTTACCAGTGCTCATATTGCAAATTTTGCTGTTATCATTGCATGTTCTTTACCCAAGCTCATATTGCAATTTTTGTTGTTATTATCACTTTTCTCTGGCACTCCGTATTACTGGTTCCCATATTGTATTCATTTTTATGCTTAGACGGCTCAGGAGATTTTTGTGGCCGGAGAAAACAACGGCCGAAATGTTTTGAAACATGGCGACAAAGTTGAGGACAATAAACTGAATATTGTAAATAGTGTACATAATATCTCATCTCAGAAATATAGACAGATACTGAAAGGCCGAAATGTTGTAATAAATATGGCAACAAAGATAAGGACAATAGTCCGAATAATGTAAATAGTGTACATAATACCTCATGTCAGAAATATAGACAGATACTGAAGGGCTGAAACGTTGTAATAAATATGGCAACAAAATGAGGACAATAGTCCGAATAATGTAAATAGTGTACATAATACCTCATCTCAGAAATATAGACAGATAATGAAAGGCCGAAACGTTGTAATAAATATGGCGACAAAGATGAGGACAATAGTCCGAATAATGTAAATAGTGTACATAATACCTCATCGCAGAAATATAGACAGATACTGAAGGTTTTATAAGTGCTGAGGATAAGGGTTATTGTTTGTAAATATTGTTTTATTAATGTCCCCATTCTTTTAATTGTGATATTTACTTAATTAGATGAATGGGGTCAATGATTGAATGGTTATGAATCCCAAAAAGGAATCTGCAATAAAAAGTATTTTATGTTTTCTGCTTTCTTTCCTTCTTAGGGAATGGACTTGGTGATGCAAATACAAATTGTCTAGCGTATCTATTTGTAAGTACCCGGATGTTTCCTTTTATTTCACTTATTTTTCGTTTCTTTATTTATTTAATTTTTTGTCAATTAAAATTATTTTTCACGGAGATTATGGCAACCTGAACTCTTTAAATCTGAAGAGTTCCATCGTTTTGGGTGTATTTCGATGGACACAGCGGTTGGTAAGTGAGGCGGATATCAAAGATATAAGCAAGAGAAATTTGATAACAAATTTTTTTTTTGACTATATGGAATTTTCCACCCAAAAGCATTCAAAATCAGGGGGTAATATCGCAAATTAAGAATGAAAAATCAAGAATTAGTCAAGTTCGTCGAGTCGCCTCCCCTGACTCGAAATAGCGAATAAAGAACCCGTGGGAAATTATAAGATTTCCATCGAAAGGAAAACATTGCAACAAGACGGATCAGTCGATAACTTCATATAGCTCGAAGACTCTGGTCAGTCAAGTGATTGCTTTTAGACTTAAAAGCGATTCACCAATTTTTTTTTTTCAAATTTGGCGAAAATATCAGGCGAGAAAATTTCTTTTTATGGAAATTTATTTTGAGCCCTGCGTTCCTGAACAATTTTAACCCTTCCGCCTGATCTCCTGAGTCAAAATTCGCAAATAATTGCTATGTAATGTTTCACGGTAGATATAAAAATAGTTACAAGTTAACCCTTTAAGCCCTGCGTTCCTGAACAATTTTAACCCTTCTGCCTGAGCTCCTGAGTCAAAATTCACAAATAATTGCTATGTAATGTTTCACGGTAGATATAAAAATAGTTACAAATTAACCCTTTGAGCCCTACATTCCTGAACAATTTTAACCCTTCTGCCTGATCTCCTGAGTCAAAATTCACAAATAATTGCTATGTAATGTTTCACGGTAGATATAAAAATGGTTACAAGTTAACCCTTTGAGCCCTACGTTCCTGAACATTTTTAAAACTTCTACCTGAGCTCCGAGTCAAAATTCACGAATAATTGGTATGTAATGTTTCATGGTAGATATAAAAATAGTTACAAGTTAACCCTTTGAGCCCTATGTTCCTGAACAATTTTAACCCTTCTGCCTGATCTCCTGAGTCAAAATTCACAAATAATTGGTATGTAATGTTTCATGGTAGATATAAAAATAGTTACAAGTTAACCCTTTGAGCCCTACGTTCCTGAACAATTTTAAAACTTCTACCTGAGCTCCGAATCAAAATTCACAAATAATTGGTATGTAATGTTTCATGGTAGATATAAAAATAGTTACAAGTTAACCCTTTGAGCCCTACGTTCCTGAACAATTTTAACCCTTCTGCCTGATCTCCGAGTCAAAATTCGCAAATAATTGGTATGTAATGTTTCATGGTAGATATAAAAATAGTTACAAGTTAACCCTTTGAGCCCTACGTTCCTGAACAATTTTAACCCTTCTGCCTGATCTCCCAGTCAAAATTCGCAAATAATTGGTATGTAATGTTTCATGGTAGATATAAAAATAGTTACAAGTTAACCTTTTGAGCCCTATGTTCCTGAACTATTTTAACCCTTCTGCCTGATCTCCGAGTCAAAATTCGCAAATAATTGGTATGTAATGTTTCATGGTAGATATAAAAATAGTTACAAGTTAACCTTTTGAGCCCTATGTTCCTGAACTATTTTAACCCTTCTGCCTGATCTCCTGAGTCAAAATTCACAAATAATTGCTATGTAATGTTTCACGGTAGATATAAAAATAGTTACAAGTGTTTACCCACCGTTCAACCAGTGACTGGGCATTAAGCCATTTTTCTCTTCCACTGTTCAACCGGTGGCTGGGCATTACGTCATTTTTTCTACCACCGGTAAATCGGTGGTCAGGACTCAAAGGATTAAGACTACTTCCTCTTCTGGTTTTGATTTCTCCGGATAAACCTGCATTTTCTTTTGATAATTATTTTTTAAATTTTATTATTAGAATTACCGAAAATACATATTAGATTAAGCCAATATTGTATACGACGTGCTTCGGATTAATACGACTATGTTTAGATGGGTATAGATCTTGACAGAAATTATATTTCAGGTTATTTATCATCAGGGAGAAGTTTCAAGTTACTGAAAGTAAACATTTCTTTGATATTCTGTATCCTGAAGTTATGATTTTGACAAGAGATGTTTTAGGTCTTTTTAAAAATTCGATAAACGAACTGAGATCCCGCGGGAAAACAATCTCATAGAATTTGGATAAAAAAAACTCCTAATAAAATGCCAAACCAGCTAAATTCAACCTTCATAAGTTAAAAGTTTCTCTGCTGTTATAAATATACAGCAACCTGTATAATACCAACTGAAATGACAAAAGTACGCAGATGTAGGCTTTAAGAAAGCTTTATTCAACTGAGAATACGCGTATAGTGACCTTTTATAGTCCCAGTAAACAGAAATAGCTCTCTCAAAGAGGAGAGTAACAAAACTAGAGGAAACTGAAAATTGGCGTTAGAAATTTCCTAACACGAAAACACCAACGCCAAGATGATGCAACAGTACGATGCAACAATATTTCTCATTTCGAATATTTTCTTCTTTTTGTTTTGTATTTTTTATAGCAACACCCTTTTCTCAAGGAACTTCATTTATCGCGGAACGATTTTGAAGACAACACCGCAAAAATTATCGGTGATCAATTGGGTATGTAAAAACAATTATAATCACTATTTTCTGCTTAGTTTGACCCAAGGCCACAACAGTGGAGCACTCAGTAATTAAAAAACTAACGAATTACATAAAAAAACGAGTTTGCTAAACCCCACTCAGTGGTAGGCGCCCATTTGATATGTACTAAGTTTAGCTTAACCTAGCACAAGACTACAATAACGGGGCACCAGAAATGGACCAAGTGATGGGCTGGAGGTTGTGGGGAAGGAGCAATTAACATCTGGGTGTAATTATGAAGGTGTGTAAATTTTCCACTGGCCTGTCAATTAATAATAAATGCACTCTCTCTTGGGATGCAATGCAACGGCCCCAGGTTAAGTTTTTTTTTATTATACAGTGTAACCCGGATATAAGAGAGTTGTCGGGACCGGAGAAGTCTCTTATATCCGGGTTTCTCTTATATCCGGGTTGGGTCTATTTTGTTTAGGTAAGTATGGGCTCTAATTTGGAACCAGAGAAAATCTCTCTTATATCCGGGTTTCTCTTATATCAGGGTCTCTTATATCCGGGTTACACTGTAATAATTATATTTTTTTTTATTCAACCAATATAAGTTTTGAGAGCCACTCCAGATAAAAGATTACTGTTAAAGTGGTTATGATGAACGTGGAATGATATGAGTGAAAGAGGAGGTGGCAGAAAGTGAAGATTATGACGATAAAGAGGATAGGTAACGACTGACCGTTGACTTGAAGGGGTTAAAATTGTAGGGTCCACAGAAACATCTACGCACGAGCCTGTTTCTTAAAGTAGCAGTTTATGGAGAAAAAAAAAGTTTTTCTGAGTGGAATTTTCGGTAAATTTGCTTTTTAACACCCAAACGCCCGCGCGCTAAATATCTCTTAAAATTTTCCCAAATCGTCACAATTCCGTATGAATGTACATTCTGAACTTGAATTAACGATTAAATTATGAAGACACCTACCGTTTTTTGGAGTTATCGACAAGAAAAAAAATCGAACTTCTTGTTGGTCATTCGTCCCCCATTACTACCATAATGTTCACTGATTCACTTCGGAGTACTTCTGTTGGCGCAATCATAAAATTTGGCCTATTTACTTCTTTTACAGCTATATCTCTTTTTAAAATCACTACGCATTGTCGTAAAGTAATTTTTTTATTAGTGTAGTTTTATTTATAACAGAAAACTTTAAACAAAAACAAATTAAATAATAGAATTAAACTTTTTTTTCTGTGTAGAATAGCAATGACAAATTAAAAGAACAAATTAAATAATACAATAAAGCATTTTTTTTATTTTAAAATTGAAAATAAAACAAACAATAATTAATGCGCAAACTTGGTAAAGTAGAAACGAAATAAGGGTTGATTGCATTATTTAACATTTTTTTAAAATTTGTCCCCTTTTCTATACAGAAAGAAAACCCTACTCCTAACCCTAACACCTAATCCTAAACTCAGTGGCGTAGCTAGAGTAAACGTCACCCGGGGCGGTCCGCTCAAATGTCACCCCAATGACCCCGATTCACCCTATGCTGAATGGTTAGCTGTAGCTAAATTTTCATACATGCTCTACCTCTACTTTACTCTACTGACCGGTACGTTACTGTTTACATGTATGATCCAAGACAAAATTCAACACCACAAAATAATCAGTTCAAATCAAAAGATTTTTAAAATGCAACTGTTCACTTTCAGAACAACTAAATACAAAACACGGCAATACACAAAAGAATGACATTCGATACTATGGTCTTAGAATGAATGTTTTCTTGTTTCATTGTGGCAAACTGGTCAATGACATCGTCAAAATCTGTTTGTCTTGTAAGCTCATTTTCAATGGACAACACAGCCAGATCCGACAGTCTCGACTGGCTCATGGTTGACGTAATTTTCTGTTGTTTATTTTCCGGTGTCCAATGTTCCGTTGCATCATTTTCTGGGTACCATTTAATTATCAATGATGTTTGAAAGTATTTTTCTTGACAAAAATGTTCTATTTAATTTTTAAGCATTTTTCGGAACATTGTAAATCAACTGCATTCTTTTAAAGGTTACCTAGAGAATTTATGCAAAGTTTATTTTTTGTTTTTCTTTATATAACTAAAATAAATTTACATCGTATTTTGATGTTATTATAATTTTAGTTTTAGTGACAATTTAAAAACAATAAATATTTATCATTAGTACCAATAATGGAAAATTAAGTTAAAAATTTGAAAGAATCGTTTTTGGAATCGGAAAATAGGCACAAATTTTTCCGAATCCGATACCCCAAAAAGTTCCGATTTTTCCGATTCTCGATTCCGATTCCGATTAATCGTCCCAACACTAGTAGATATATTCAAAAGTATATCGCTCACTCAATGGAAAACTGTATCTCAGCGAATTGATACACAGGCAAGACTGAAATTGTTGCACTTTTGGTTTCGTATTTCGCTTTGTTGTTATTAATGGTGCAGAGTTAAAACACCATATCATCCGATAAAATGTTACAACAATGTCTCTTGTTAGTAACCAAGATTGTAGCAACTGAAACACATGAAAGCTGAAAACATTGCTATTTTTCCTACTCACAAATTTCCCGACAATTTATTAGAAAATTTCTGACGGGGGGACAAAACTGGGGGGTTCATAAATTATTTCTGGGGGTCATATGCCCACCTGCGAAACCCTGTGTCTGCACCACTGTTTTCAGACTATTTTTGGCACCTTAGACTGGTTGATAAATTTTGTTGGGGGTGACATTGTGTCACCCCCTCCTGTGCTGGTACCTTGGGCGGTCCGCCCCGCTCGCCCCCTTAGCTACGCCACTGCCTAAACTTAACCCATAAACATAACACTTTGTAAAAAGCATGATTATGTACAAAATAAAATTACAAAATAAAAAAATTCTAGAAACGAAATAAGAGTTTATTGTATTATTTAATTTTTTTTTTCAATTTGTCTGCTTTTAATTAAAAAAATGGTTTATTGTATTATTTAATTTGTTCTTTTAGTTTGTCATTGCTATTCTACACGAAAAAAGGTTCTATTGTATTATTTAATTTGATTTTGTTATAAATAAAACTACACTTACCAAAAAAAAGAAAAAAAAAGAAAAGAAAATTACATTTCTTTATCGTAGTGCGTAGTGATTTTTTTCACCGAAAGTCTGTAAAAGAAGTAAATAGGCCAAAATTTCTGATTACGCCAACGAAAGTACTACGCATTGAATCAGTGAACATAATGGCAGTAATGGGGGACGAATGACCAACAAGAAGTCCGATTTTTTCTTGTCGATAACTCTAAAACGGTTGTTTTTTTTCATAATTTAATTGTTAATTCGAGTTCAGCATGTACATATACACGGAATTATGACGATTTGGGAACATTTTAAGAGATATTTAGCGCACGGGCGTTTGGGCGTTAAAAAGCAAATTTACCGAATTTTCTCCTTAAATTTGAAATACGGGGGAAATGAGGGTGATTCGACACTGTGGAATGAGAGATTTGCTTTTCGCGGTTTGTCAACCTTTTGCATGTAATTTAAAGTCAGATTATATTTTTAGATTGAAAGAATTTATTTTTGGAGATAATAATGATTCACTAATACAAGTCCTACTAATTAACCCATAGATAGGGGAGCGAAAAGTGTTCAACAATTCCTTCATTCGTCATTTATTTATTGACTTCGCCACTGTTTATTATAATAATAACTGAATGTCGTTGAGTTAAAATTAGAAACGTTTACATATCAGAGTCATTTCCAATAAGTTTAATAATGTTAACAATTATATTTTTTAAGACCAAGACACTACCCGGTGTGGAAAAGTTAAAAACAGGAACATTCCTAAGGAAGGAGAACAGAGGAAGAGTAATCATGAGGGCATGAGATAGTGATTGACGTTGCATTTAAATTTTTGCAGATTGAAGTTGGCTGGAAAGCACGAAGCCGGGAGGAAGTTCCACAAGTGCGAAGTGCGAGAAAAGTAACTGTTAGCATAGAATTTACAAATATCTTCGCTTCTATAAAGAATACAGGAATAAATTATTCATCGAAACTTTTCTAGGAACATATTAAATCAGAATCTATATTTGGGTTTAACTATTGTAGCTTTGGAGTGTAAGCCGGACACACATACAAATAGACGAATACCCTTTAGTATAGAATAGATTATCTTCATATGTGACACTGAAATTCTCAGGTGCATTGGTATAGCGAAAATGCCTTCCAAAAGCTAAGCAAAGTATTAAGAAGCAGGAAAATTTCGTTAGAAACAAAGAAAAAACTACTGAGCTGTTACTTAATATCAGTCCTCCTATATAGCAGTGAATGCTAGACAATCTCCACAGAAGAGATTTGAAGCAACAGAAATGTGGTTCTGTAGAAAGAATATCATGGAGAAAATGGAAACAAAAAGGACTCTTATATTTAACACCAGGAAGAGACAGTTGGAATTTCTAGGGTGCATAATTAGGAAAGAAGGCTTGGAAATGTGATACTCACTAGACAGATTGAAGGCAAGAGGAAAACAACGCATAACCTACCTAGCAAACTTGAGTAAATGGATGACAGAGCAATGTTTAAGAGAGAAAAAAGACAAAATTTATTAAGAGCTACAAATGACAGGAAATTGTTGACAGTCATGATCGCCAACGTTCTGAGAGAAACGGCACATAGAAGAAGAAGTATGTTATCATTAAAACGGATGAAAGTCAGCTTTAAATAAATCAGTGTTATTGGTGAAAATGTATTTATTTCTCTATTGGATCATGTTATTTAAGTCATGGCAATTATGTGTGAAAAATAATATCGCCCAAATGTCCGTCGGCAGCACACCTCAACTCGATGGTCAAAATTTTTGATGACGTCTCTGCATAGTTGCTTCTGGATCTCACCAATATGCCTTATTATCTCATCCTTCAGCTGTTGAATTATTATTGGCTTGTTTGCATAGACCTTACTTTTGAAATGACCCCAAAGGAAGAAATCTAAAGTCGTCAAGTCGCGCGATCGTTGTGACCAATTGACTTCGCTGTTTCGAGAGATGATGCGATGACCTGGGAGCTTCTCGTTCAAATTCTTTTTGAACGTCCATTTTCGTAATAGGCTTCGATAACTTTAACACGTTGTTTGATTGTTAATCTTTCCATGGTTGTAATTGCAAAAGACTTAAGTTGTTAAATCTGAAAGAAAAAGAAAAAAAAATCATTAGACGCTTAAACTTAATTCACATTTTAAATCGGTCCGTTATTGGAACACCCTTTACAAGATTAAAACATATACCCTTGTCCAAATTAATTGAAACAGCCTCTTTAGTTTCCTTTCTTTCACTATACGGTCAGTTTTAGACCCACTGGAGTGACAGGGTGTAATCGATATCTATTTTTTTCCTTAGATTAGGTCATTTGACGTACTGTGCAGTAATATAACATTTTTTCGGGGTGTATGATGAAATTTGTTTGACTTTGAAAAATATTGTGTCATCCGTGATCGCATCAGATTTTCATCACGCCTGGACACTATTGTCTCGACTGTCGATTAGTTGTCCTACGGCCATTATCTGCGATAGACGTTACTCCAAGGAAGCGTGCGAAAATCGTAACGCTGCACGAACACAATGGTAAGCTTTACCAGTGAGCAAATCAAAGTACTATCGACTGGCCCGGAAACTCTCCTGATTTAAATCCAATCGAGAATCTGTGGTCAATCTGCAAGGAATGACTTCGTGGAATGGACATACGAAGTACTAATAAGTGCACTAGGTCATGTTTCATTGGAAAAATATGAAAAGAAGTAAACATTAACGAAATTATTCGTTTTCTTTCAATTAATTTGTACAAGGGTGTACATACACGCGGACAGACAGACAGACAGACATATAGAACGGGTGGCGTCGTTTAAAATCAAATGCCGAAATTAAAGGGATTGATACACATTAGCCGGCAAGAAAAAAATAAAACTGTCAAATAAATTTAAATTTAATTTATAACAAATCCGAGGTTTTCCCGTTTCTTCCTGGTAGCCTAGAAAATCAGCCCTTGCGATCCATCTTGCCCGTATATAAAAAAAAAATTTATTATTATTATTTCCTCGGGTTTAGAGACCTAATATCAGAGATGGTTTCATGACATTTTCCACTGATTATTTTATAAAAACCAAAAAAATAAAAAATAAAATAAAAAGGAACAAAAAAACAAAAACAAAAACAAAACAAAACCTAAGATCACACACACTTTACATAGATAAAGCCCTTCGTAATGTGTGGGATGTACTTGTGAGTACAATTTTTTTGTTGTCTTTCTTTAAGGCATAGAATCCCTTCAATGAGTCTATCAGAACCTTTTCCAATCAATCCGAGGTTCCAACTACAACTGGAATTATCGATGTTAGAGCTTTCTAATTCAAGCTCCTTGTATTTTGTGTTTTTTTAAAGATCTTCAAAGATACATTACAATCTGCAGGGACGGTCATATCAATAAGAAAGCAAATTCTGCTTTTTGGTCTTTGATCACGATTTCTGCGCAGTTAGCTTTGATTGTTCTCTCTCTGTGTATTGTAATTATTATTATTATTATTTTTATTTTCTTTGATTTATGGCGTTTACACATTTCTTTCCGGGTCCCGCCCAGGAACCTTAGGTTAGAAATGGCGTCATGACACTTTCCACTGACAAAAAAAAAAAAAAGAATTAAATTACATAGATAAAGCCATTCGTAAGGTGTGGGCTGTACTTGTCAGAACAATTTTTTGTATCTCCTTGAGGCATGGACTTCCAGGAATCCCTTCAATTAGTCTACTGCAATCTTTTCCAACCAGTCCTAGGGCTCCAACTACAACAGGGATTGTTGATGTTCCCATATGCCACATTTTCGAGATTTCTATTTCAAGGTCCTTGTACTTTGACAACTTTTTGAATATCTTCAAAGATACATTGCAGTCAACAGGGACTGCCATATCAATAAGGAGGCATCGTTTTTGTTTGTGGTCTTTAATAACAATATCTGGCCGGTTGGCCTTGATTGTTCTGTCAGTGTGTATTGTGTAGTCCCATAGAATTGTAACAGGTCCTATCTCCGTAACCGGGTCTGGGTGGTGTTCATACCAGTTTCTTTCAGTTTCCTTCCCGTAGAAGTTGCAGATTTTCCAGTACAGATATTGGCCCACTCTGTCATGTCGGGTTTTATATTTAGTGGGTGCCAATACCGTACAACCTGATACAAGATGATCAATCGTTTCTGGATATTTATCACAAAATCTGCATTTTGGGCTGACACAATATTTTAGTATATGTGCTTGATAATTCCTAGTTAGCAAGCATTGGTCCTGCGCAGCAAGGATAAAACCTTCAGTTTCCGCTTTCAACCCTGCACTACGTAGCCACTGATGGGTACGGGTTTTGTCTACGTCAGCTTGTTTGGTACGGGCAGAGTATTGGCCATGAAGCGGTTTATCTTGCCATCGCTTCTGTAGCTGGTCGGTTGCATTCGTCTTTGCTGTCTTTTTTAGGTATTTTGCAGTTTCAGCCGGTGTATTGTGCTGTAGTTGCATCTCTACGCCCATTTGAAACTCCATTTTGAATTTGTTTATTATTATTATTATTATTATTATTATTATAACTGCCAGTCTTCATTAAAAATTCTCGCTGCTGCACGTAACTTCACAAACCTGGATCTCATTCCACAAAACCTGAAACACCATCCATTATAATAAGTTATTTGTTTATTTATTGTTCTTTTCAGCATAAAAAGTTAAACTTAAAATACATTGCACAGGGTAAAATTAAATTAAGGTTAAAAAATAAAAGTAATTGTATAAAAGACATTGCACGCGTCACTAGCTCATGCCAAGGCGCCAAGCGATTTTGATAGTTTAATTAAGAGACTTTTCTTTCAGAGTTTAGAAAATGACTAATATTTTTATCGCCATGTTAATTTAAACATTGTAGGAAACAATGAGACGCTGGAGATATTGGACATAAGTTGGAATCATTTTCGTCATCGCGGTGCTGAAGGAATTGCAAAAGGATTAAAAGTAAGTTCAATACAATTAATACTTCAACCTCTATTAGAGTCTTAAGTGAATCTGGCCGGTTGTGTTATGGGTCGGGTTCCGACGTCAGATGAAATACTTAACAACTAAAACGACATGTATAGGGTGACCCCAAAAAATGGGAACTTTTAACAATCCAATAAAACCAAGAGTGATGGAAGAAAAATATTTTATTCGTAGTAATTGAAACCTTAAAACATGCCATTTAACAAACAATGATGGAATTTTCATTTTTTAAAAATTACGCCATGTAGATGGCGTCCTCCTGTACGAATGCATTCTTGAAATCTGCTGTTGAGATTCCTCATTGACTGCTGCAACATCTCAGCTGGGATACTGTGAATTTCATCTTGAATTCTAAATGGCGAAATGTTTACTTCCTCAAGGTCACTGTCTCGCAGGGTTGCCATTTGCTTATGTCTGGCAATACGCACTTCAAAAATTCCCGTTTTTTTGGGTCACACTGTATAAAGTAATGAACGATCTTTAATTCCGAGCCGCGTAAATATCCTACAGATACCGTTTTCTGAAGAAGCACATGCGTGAATACTACGCCATTTGCAATTTTTTGTTTATTACTGCTGTGTTCCTCGAAGGTTTCACGTGTGCGTTGTATAAGGGGGGTCCACTTTACACTGACACCATGTCATGTTATGCGTCCGGTTCCAACGTCTGATAAACTACTTACAAACAACTAGAACGGCATGTTTAAGGGAATGAGAGATCTTTATTCACAAGCCGCGAACAATATCTTAGATCATCCTTCAGATACCGTTTTCTGAGGGAGCGTACGTATTCTTGCTAGTGGATGCGCACTGCTGATGACTCCCAGATAGGAAAGAAACAGCTGTCCAGTGCTTGCTGCATTCTGTTGAGGATTCTTTTAGACTCGCTGAATTAATTGGATTTGAATTCAAATCACCCCAATAACTTCTTTTATAGTTTTAAGGGATGATATGTTTATGAGTAAAAGTACTCAATATTAGAAATAAAGCATATGTAAATAAATATAAAAATGGACACTGAAGTCAATACCAATTAGCCCGAGGATTGTATTCAAGCATGAAACAAACTGTTGCTGCTTAGTATTTGTAGAATAACAATAATAAAAAGCACGTACCGGCGTAAGAATTCCAACTAGCGTCCAGCTGGCAGACAAAAATAAAGCAGGTTGTAACTTAATACATATCCTGCAAACTGAGAAATCATGCTAGTATTTATATAGTAATACTTCCACCAGGTACCAGCAGCCAATCACAGCCCAAGCAATGGACTATCCCACTTTAGCATAATGAGATGCTCCATTGCACCATAAATAGCTCTGTCTCTATGTTGAATTAGTCTTCACTCAGCTTGCTCCACAACTGAGTGGTTATCTTGACTACGTGATTGTTCGACATGGCGCTGCGAACAGGATCTATGACACCTGAAAATTGGGAACTCTTCTTCATTGAAGCAGGCATATCCACCGACTCGGCCAAAACTCATGCAACAAGGTTTGCGGACGAGAAGCTGACAATCGAGAGCCTTCAAATGCTGGATCGATCTATGCTTAAGGAGCTGGGAGTCACATTAATGGGAGAAGCCCTGTGTATCATTAAGCAGGCTAAGGAATCCACCACCCAGACAACCCGCATTCAGGCACTAGCAGCCAAGCCTCCTCATCTCAATCTCGAGATGACACCACAGCAATTCAGGAAGTTCCGAATTGACTGGGATGTCTTTACCAAGATGACAAATATGCCAAACTCCCAAGCTAATATTCACCTATACAATTGTGCTGATGAGGCTGTGCAAAATGCCATAATCAACACACACCCTGACTTCTTTACCACTGATCCTGATAATCTACTTGACATGGTAGAAGTGTTGGTCACCCAGAGGTCAAGTCCTATTGTCCATCGCCTTGCTTTTGCCTCCATGTCTCAGGATGCTGATGAGCCAATACAAAGTTACCTTGTCCGCCTCAGAGCCGTAGCCGTTGATTGTAACTTTACCTGCCCCTCGTGTGAACATGACCTGTCTGATATATACATCAAGGACCAGATCATCCGTGGAATAGCAAATGACACACTCCAGGCTGACCTACTGGCCAAAGCTGGGGCACTTAAATCCCTTGAACAAAATATCCGTCATGCTGAGGCATTTGAATCAGCATTGCGGGACCAAACCTCAATGGCCAGTGCTTCAGATACAGCTGCTGCTCGGCTATCAACATACCGCAGACAGAAGGGTACACCACAAGCCAACGAGGCGATCCGTACCAGCACCTATTGCAACTGCAATGTTAAACCAAACCACCAGGCTTGCTTAGGTTGTGGCAGCCACCAGCATGGCACCTCAGGAACTGAATCACGCCGGCTAAAATGCCCAGCATGGGGACAAACATGTAGTAATTGTGGGAAGCCCAATCACCTATCGAGGGTATGCCGGGCTAAGAAACCAGCTCAAGCGGTCAGGAAAAGCCTAGAGGCTAATGAAGCCGCCATGGACACACTTATCGCCCACATCACATTCAATCAAACGACAGGCACGTATACGTCTAAAGACACAGGCCAGATAAGGAAATTGATGCATATGTTGTTCCATTTTCGCCAAAACCGGATCCCAGACAAATTAAGAATATCCCCAGAAATCACAGCACTAGGATGACAATCTTTCCTGACAGTGGGGCCACCCATATGTCTCGGGGACTTAAGCACCTTCTGAATATGGGGCTCACTATCGAAAACCTCATTCCATCAAGAAAAGTCGTCCGAGCTGTGGGAGGCTTTACGCTTGTATGTCAGGGTTGGCTCCCCGTGGAATTCATCGTCCAAGGAAGAACAACTAAACAAGCCCTATACATATGCAAAAAGATTCAGCGGCTATACTTCAGCAAAGCAGCCTGTATTGATGTAGGGATACTGTCCAAAGACTTTTGAAGCCAACAACTACAATATTACCCCAAACAACAATGCAACACATGCCCTCGACAAGCACACATAAAAAAATCGGACGTGAGCCCTAAACAATGCAAAGTCGAGGGACAACTTCCAACACGCCCCAAAAACTCCTTTTCTTCCAACAGAACAAAACATTGATAAGCTCAAGAATTGGCTATTAAATCAATTTGCCGAAACGGCGTTCAAGAACAATGGTGAATTCCACCGATGTCTGGCCCCACTGCACATATACACCTCAAAGAAGGAGCAGTCCCCAAAGCAAGACATAACCCAATTCCTGTGCCTTTTTCACTTCAAAGAGCCCGTAAGACAGGCCCTTTGGGAAGATGTGAAAAGGGGTATCATAACCCCAGTACCCGTTGGCATGCCCGCTGATTGGTGTAGCACTATGGTAATTACCGCAAAAAAAAAATGGCAAACCACGAAGAACCATAGACTACCAACACCTGAATTCACAGTGCAAACGGGAAACACACCATACAGGGTCACCATTCCAGCTAGCACTACAAGTGCCACCTAAACAAAAAGAAAACAGTGTTGGATGCTGTTGATGGATATCATTCCATCCCCTTAGATAAAGAGTCCCAGCCACCCACCACCTTCATCACAGAATGGGGAAGGTTCATGTACCTGAGAATGCCACAAGGTTACCTAGCATCTGGCGATGCCTACACCCGAAGATATGATGAAGTAATAAAAGACATCCCCGCAAAGTAAAAATCGTGGATGACACCCTACTCTATGACTCTGACATCGAAGGAGCCTTTTTTCACACCTTCGATTTTCTCCTCCATTGTGCAAAAAACGGCATCGTAATAAATAGAGAAAAATTCCAATTTTGCCAAGACACGGTGCAGTTTGGGGGCCTCAAATAACATCTTCTGGTGTAACCCCTTCTAAATCCATGCTGGAGGCAATATTGAGCTTCCCAATACCAAAGACACTCACCGATGCCAGATCATGGTTTGGGCTGGTCAACCAAGTCGCTTGGGCATATTCACTAAGCCCAGTCATGCTTCCATTTCGTGATCTCGTAAAACGAGACTCACACTTTACATGGAATAAAAGCCTGGAGGATGCATTCCAGCAGTCAAAGAAGGTCATAGTTGACTTAGTCCGAAAAGGCATCGCAACATTTCAAAAAGAAAGAATAACCTGCCTTGCCCCAGATTGGAGCAAAGACGGAATGGGCTTCCTACTTCTGCAGAAGTATTGCTCATGCACCACTGACAAAGCCCCAGTTTGCTGCCCTGAAGGTTGGCGCCTGATATTTGCTGGTAGCAGATTCTGCATTGATGCTGAACGCAGATATGCACCTATTGAAGGCGAAGCAGCAGCAATTGCATGGGCATTGGAAAAATGTCGGATTTTTGTAATGGGTTGCCCGAATCTCATAGTGGTTACAGATCATGAACCACTAAAAGGATTATTCGGAGATAGAGACCTTAGTAAAATCCAAAACCCCCGATTATTCAGGTTAAAGGAGAAAACCCTCAGGTACAGATTCACCATTCAGCACTGCCCTGGGAAATGGCACAGAGCCTCCGATGCTGTCTCTCGTAACCCAGCAGACATCTCACAGGCACTCCTAAATGTATTCACTGCTGAACCCTCTCAATCAGACATCATAGAGTCTGACAACATGGATGACTGGGTCAAATCAAAAACCTTATTAGCAACATTCGGTGCAAATGACAACCTGGAGCTCATCTCAGCAGACGTTATCCGTACGGCGGGACGCAGCGACCCGCAATACAAAAAAATTAATAGAAGTAATACAAAACGGATTCCAAAGAACACGCATCCTCACTGCACCTGAAATCCGCGAATATTGGGAAGTGAGGCACCGCCTAAGTGTTGACGACGGGTTAGTGCTCTTAGATCAAAGAATTGTTATCCCCACCTCACAACGCACAAAAAATATTACATAGCCTACATTCTGCACATCAAGGCGAAGTTGGCATGAAGGCACGTGCCAATGAATCTGTTTATTGGCCCGGGATGAATGCTTCAATTCGTAATATTAGAGCAGGTTGTACGTTCTGCTCAAAAATTGCCCTGAGTCAACCAAAAGAGCCAATCAATTTGACACCATCTCCTGATTGGCCATTTCAGCAAATCGTCATGGACATCTTCCATGTTGGAAACCATGGTTACTTAGCATGCGCTGACAGATTAACGGGCTGGCTGAATCTATACCACTTGAGCCACGGAGAAGCTAATGCCTCAAGGATTATTTCGATTTGCCGAGACATATTTCAAACCTACGGCGCTCCTGAGGAACTCAGCAGTGATGGTGGGCCACCCTTCACATCTCTTCCATTCAAGCAATTTTTTGCAAGACTGGGCTGTTAAACAAAGGTTATCATCTGCTGGTTACCCACAATCCAATGGTCGAGCAGAGCTCGCATGTCAAAACAGCCAAGAGAATCGTAAATGGCAACACAGGAGCCCAAGGATCATTGGATAATAACCGTGCAGCAAGAGCCATCCTCCAATACAGGAATACGCCCATTCAAAACATTGGGCTATCCCCTGCTCAACTACTACTCCACCGCCGACTACGTGACTACATACCATCCCACCCAACACTCTATAAGCCACACGCGAATTGGATAACCGCAGCACAAAATCGTGAGATAAGTTTGTCCCGGCGGAACGCTCGTCTCATAGAGCGATACAACAGAACAGCACACACTTTAAACCCCCTTCAAAAAGGACAAATAGTGGCACTACAAAGACCAACAACCCGTCGATGGGACACAACAGGTCAGGTCATTGAAATCCTCCCCAACCACCAATACCGTATCAGAGTTGACGGATCAGGTAGAATTACCTTACGAAATCGCCGATTTCTCAGGAAACTGGATACACCAACAATTCCAGTTCCAAGACCTAGTGCAATAGCTGAGACCCCTACACCAGTGCAACAAACAGTCGACGCTGGAATAACATCAAACACTGCTCAGCCGTTTACAATAACACGGACAAAAACCCCTCGGGCATTGTCCAGACTACTTCCGCACAACCAGCCAGGTTTAAAGGAACTCATCCCTCCCCAAAGGCCACTACCCACACGCGATGGGGGGGAAGGAGATGTAGAATAACAATAATAAAAAGCACGTACCGGCGTAAGAATTCCAACTAGCGTCCAGCTGGCAGACAAAAATAAAGCAGGTTGTAACTTAATACATATCCTGCAAACTGAGAAATCATGCTAGTATTTATATAGTAATACTTCCACTCAGGTACCAGCAGCCAATCACAGCCCAAGCAATGGACTATCCCACTTTAGCATAATGAGATGCTCCATTGCACCATAAATAGCTCTGTCTCTATGTTGAATTAGTCTTCACTCAGCTTGCTCCACAACTGAGTGGTTATCTTGACTACGTGATTGTTCGACAGTATTAACCTCAGTGTACACACACACACACACACACACACACACACACACACACACACACACACACACACACACATATATATATATATATATATATGTGTGTGTGTGTTAATATGTGAAACAGACTGTTGCCAATCGGTGTTGACCTCAGTGTCAACTTTTATATTTACATGAACTCTATCTTTGATATTGAATACTTTTACCCATAAATATTACATACCTTAAAACAATATTATATATATATATAATATATATATATACGCCAACCGAAGAAACACCGGACTTCAGCGTGATTAATAGTTTCACATGCAAAGTTATTCTCAGTTTGTATTCTATCGTTCTTCGAACCGTCTGAAGATCGCTATACTCGAGAAATTATTGGTCATAATGAAGTCCTCTGTTTCTTCCCTCTTAGAATATGTTCCTGGTTCATTCTGTATTTAGTTCACCGTTTTGGATTTTTCTTGTTTGGTTTAGTTTGGTTTATTTTGTTTTACGGCATATCAACCTCAATGGGTTATTTAATGCCGACAACATTTTTAGGATAGATTCGTATGAATAAAATATGTATTCTTTGGTTTAGATTGGTTTGGCTTATTTTGTTTTACGGCATATAAACCTCAATGGGTTATTTAATGCCGACAACATTTTTAGGGTAGATTCGTATGAATAGAATATGTATTCTTTGGTTTAGATTGATTTGGCTTATTTTGTTTTACGGCATATCAATCTCAATGGGTTATTTAATGCTGACAAAATTTTTTATTGCTGGTAATATTTTGTTTTCTCAAAAATCTGTTTCTGGTAATATATTTCCTTCAAAATTGTATTGCTGGTAATAATTTTTTCAAAAAAAGTATTGCTGGTAATAGTTAACTATTTGCCCATAGTTGGGACCCTAACAGGTGCTACCACCCCTGGTCATGGTGGACCTGGGAACACCAGCAATTAAGAGGTGGTTCCACGCTCCTCAAAACTTCCTGATCAGAGGCCTTGCTGCTGGACGTAGTTTAACGTCTTACCCAGGATGCGGATGTAGTTTAACGTCTTACCAGGACGGTTTTTCTTGCTTTGACTTTTAAGCACTGACTGTTTTTGCTGAATCTACGTAGGCGTTTTAATGCTTTCTTTATAACTTCTCAGGCCTGATTTCTTTGTTTTTTCTTGGTCGAGTTCAGGTATATATTATGTATAATAATAATCAATATAATATTTTAAAAAATATTTTATCGAAATTCTATTAAAATTGTTTAGTTTTGTGGTATGCTAAATATTTGTTGTTTTTATAGGACAACACTCGATTGAAAACGTTGGATATAAGTTACAATGGATTCGGCTGTGAAGGCACCATTGCTATATCAAACGCATTATCTTGCAATCAATCACTGCAAGAACTGGATATTTCGCACAACCGTGTCACAGATGAAGCCATCAATCCATTATGCAAAGTTCTGAATAATAACCATACTCTGTTGCACCTAAAAGTAAGTGTCTATGTTTTTTGCTTAAAAAAATTTACATCGGTTTTATCTAAAAGAAAAAGGACATTTCAAATGACCCTGGTCTTTGCTGAAAAAAACATTTACCTTCGTTTGACCTAGAGATACAAAACAGCCAAATGTATCTGCTCTTTGCTGAAAAAAAATTACCTTGGTTTGATCTAAAAATACAAAGCAGCCAAATGCATCTGCTCTTTGCTAAAAAAAACATTTAACTCGGTTTGACCTAAAAAGGCAAAACAGTCACATGTATCTACACTTCTCTGAAAAAAAAAACATTTACTTTGGTTTGACCTAGAGATAAAAAAAAACAGCCAACTGCATCTGCCCTTTGATGAAAAAACATTTAACTCGGTTTGACCTAGAGATAAAAAACAACCAAATGTATCTACTCTTTGCTGAAGAAAACATTTACCTTGGTTTGATCTAAAAATACAAAACAGCTAAATGTATCTGCTCTTTGCTGAAAAAAACATTTAACTCGGTTTGACCTAAAAATGCAAAACAGCCAAATGTATCTGCACTTCACTGAAAAAAACATTTACCCTCGTTTGACCTAGAGATAAAAAGCAGCCAACTGCATCTGCTCTTTGCTGAAAGAACATTTACCTCGGTTTGACCTAAAAAATGCAAAACAGCCAAAATGTATCTGCTCTTTGCTGAAAAAAAACATTTACATTGGTTTAACCCGAGAAAAGGTTGCTACCAAATGTCCCTGTAATGATTATTTTGCTTTCGTCACAACATATCTCAAATTTCAACCGACAGTGGTACTGGCTGCTCGGCCAATGGATATCGAACGTTTCCTTATAAGGAAACGGTTAATACTAGCATAGCAGACGGTCTTTTTTCGCGTAGTTGATGTCTTTTTTGCTGCAAAACATCCATTTAAAATACTTTTACGTAGTATCCTTCTTACTGCATAAAGTGACACTTCAGTAATAATGCTGTTTTCATCCATTTCTTGACAAGCTGTTAATTTCAAATTGGATTACGATAACCTCACTAGCTTTCTTTGATTTTTTTTGTCTAATTTCGAAAGTCTGTCAATCTTTCTCACATCCAAACGATCCCCAAAAAACAGCATGCTTTTTCTTGATAACTTGGACAGCATGACTTGATAAAATGAATTTCACGTTGACTCATTTTTTGTGACGTTTCAATAATTTTTTGTCCCCTTCTCCATACTCTTTCTTTTCGTTTTGAAACTACAAGTTGAAGTCTCCAGATTTTATTTAATCTGCCTTTGATCATTTCATATGAGAAATGTATATGTATATCTGAATCTAGGATGATGTTAATTTTGAGAGAAGTCAAGGTGCTCATAGCTTTTACATGCTTTATTTTCAGTATCCCAGTGTGGTCAGGTTTGTACATCTCGCACTTTGCTCATGTGAATACAACAAACTTGCATTACAGTATCGAATAGCCGCAGATCTTACTCCTGAAAATACATTATCGTATATTTACAGCCTATTGACGTTTTACATAGGTGACACATTTCTTTTTGTTCAACATTATATATATATATATATATATATATATATATATATATATATATATAAATGAATTCCAAAGAGGATAGAATCGAGGTAGAACTCAATGTCCAGGACAGAGTAAGAAAATTTTTGTTTTTTATACCCGGAGTTATATTTTCCGATTTCTTTTTTTGAATTTGTAGGTCTGATGAATTGGATCGTGATTACGATTCCAATGAAATATTAGTGTTTGAGCTTTATAAAAAATATATATATATATATATATATATATATATATATGTTCAAATGGATAAACATAAATAAATGTACATGTAAGTGTTCAAATATATATATATATATATATATATATATATATATATATATATATATATATATACACAGTAGCGAGCATAAACATCAAAATAATGTTAAGAAAAAAGTCTAAATGTTAAATAACATTTTAAAGCTTCAAACAACATTTTATCAGGGAAAAATAAGGATATAAAGTTAAATTATATAATTCCAAAATATAAAACTCAATATCATCTTTATGCTCGCTACTGTATATCCATTGGTGTAAGAAAAACAGTGCTCAGTGCTAAATAACAGAGCTATTTAGTATATATCAATAAATATGCATAATAATAACCCACGTTGAAAATACAACTCAGAGTTTCATACTCATTGCAATCTTCAGGTACTTCTTTATAAAATAGCATTTACATGTAGAGTATTATGTATATTTGTTAATGTATGTGCGTGAGTGTGTGTCTGTGTATGACATTTCCAATATACCTACAATATATATCTGTAAATAGTTTTCCCTTTGTCTTTATTCATCCACACGCATACATAATCACATACACCCACATAATCACATACATCTACATATATAGTGTGTATATTTTGGCAATATGTTTTCATCCTTCATTAAATAATTTAGGCCGGTTTTGTCTACTTAATAGGATCCTCTCGTAATTACGGACAAGTTTCTTAGTGTGCCTTTAATATAAAGCAAATAGAATATAATACTTCTTCATTTAACCTTAAACATAATAATCTTTTATATCGCAATCAAATACATTCTAATCATAAACAGGACGAAAATAACCTAAAAAAAACCTAATAAATACTAATATATCCACCATAGATCCTAATAAAAAAATCAAGTTAATTACATACTATACTAAATTCAATATATCCAATTTAATCATTTATAATGACTCCTCCCTACCAACTAACGTGTTGCAGCAAAACCAACATTATATATAAATTTAAATGTCCCTTGGGAGATTGTATCTCCAACAGAAAAAATAATAGATATGTTGGTCATACCACTACTACGTTGTCTCGAATGTTAATTTTTCATCTGAATGATGCATCTAACATCTCTCAACATTTACAGCAGCATGCCTGTCCACATTCGCAATTTAGGAAAATTCTTGTTGAAAATACATCCATACTTTTTCATGAAAATAATAAACAAACTAGAAATTCTTGAAGCTATCTATATTAAAAAATTGAAACCAATCCTTAATAAAATCAATTATCAGTACTGCACAAATGTTTTAAAATTTTTACAGTAGATAGTTTAAAATATCTAGGTTTAAACTAATAGTTTTTTCTTTAAAAAAGATTTAGACATTTTTAATAAATTAGTTACCTCCCTTGACGTTTGCACGTGTGTCTCTCTGATAAAATTTTAAAATTGTACGGTACATAATCTTCGCATTTTTCACTTCACATGTAAAAATTTAATTTTCAGATGAACACAACAATTTTGTCTTAGAAAGGACAAGACTCTGATGACGACATTGTGCTAATGTCGAAGTACTGAATGAATATCAGCATGGTAATTTTCTTTCTTCCTTTAATAAGGTTACTAAGAAACTTGACTGTAATTATGAGAGGATCCTATTAAAAATAAGTAGACAAAACCTGTCTAAATTATTTAATTATATATATATATATATATATATATATATATATATATATTCAAACAGGTTTGGTTAAATAATTTAGACATATCAAGTCGGTTAGTTTTCATTGTGATCCTTTCAAATTCGCGGATTAATTTTGGGGTAGACTTAGAAAACTGAGTAAGAAAAATACCAAAATTTTCTTTCAAATAGTTTTTTTTTATTTTCCCAAGTACTTTCAATCTCATCTGAGACCATTTTCAGAGTGTTGTCTGTGAGTATGTATATGTGTTTCTGTGAATTTTAAAACATTTCAACTGTTCGTTTTTTTTACTGCTAATGCAGCATTCTAGATTTTAAAGTTCAAAGTTCACGTTCTTTTGCGTTTTTTCGAGAAGTAACATTTTTGTTTTTGCTCATACGTATATAACTTTTTTTTCATAAGCATTTAAGGACTTTTTGCTATACTCATAGTTGATATGTCTAAATTATTTAACCAAACGTATTTGAATGAAAATGTACTGCCTAAATGCACACAAATATATATATGTATATATATTCCTCTTATTTTTCAAAATTAATCCTATCTTTTGATTTTTATTTGTAGATTGGTGGCAATCCTCTCTCCACAATGGCGGCCATTACTCTCGTTACTACAATCAATAAATCAAATACTTGCGCATTAGTTTCTTTGGATCTGCAGGTAAGTCAGAAAATAAGTGACCAAAATATGAGCAGTACAGGGTACGATGGATAAATTGTCATCTCAATAACGCAAAAATGAAAATAAAACTGACATCTGATTTTGGCAGATATGCAGGGTGCGATGGATAAATTGTCGTCTGAATGACGCAAAAATGAAAATAACACTGACATCTCATTTATCTATCTATCTATCTATCTATCTATCTATCTATCTATCTATCTATCTGTTTTATTCTCGTATACTCTAGCAAACATTGCTTATTTAATTTCATGGAATTGAGTACCATGAATGAAGATCAGGCCGCCGGATTATCTATTATTAAAGAGTTTATAAAAAGGGCACGAGAAAAAAAAAACCCAAAATCAAATAAGTTTATTTGTACAAGATTCAAACTAAATTGTTGCTTAGTCAGATACTCAACAGATATATTTACGAAAATTACACAAAAATATCTTGCAATACTAAAGAGTAAATTTATTCAATAAAACCGCTTTTGGCTTCAACAACGGCCTCGGACGACTTCGGAATCTCCTGCAACTCTTCTGTACAGTCTCCTTGTTTAAGTTTATGAATGCTGGAATAATCCTTACTTTCAGTTCATCTTTGGTGTTACAAAGAATTTTGTTTGTCTTTCGCTCAACAGCGTTCCACACATAATAATCAAAGGGGGTGTGCAGTCTGGGGAGTTAGGTGGCCAAATCAAAGGGGTGACGTGGTCGCAGAAATTGTCTGACAGACATGACTGAGTTTTCCATCTTGTGTGACACGGTGCAGAGTCCTGTTGCCAGATATCGGGTCTTCTAGAAGCCACCCTCTTGATCCAGAGCAACGCTACCTTCTCAAGGTACAATGGAGGTCTCTGTGTTGAGTCTGAGCCCCAGTGGTAAGATAAATGGAGACTTAACGTCACCATCGGCAGTGCTCACTCCAAACACCTTCGTAATAACCATCCAATTCTTTTCAAATCCTTTGCACTGTCCTCAGATTGACGCCAAAACACTGAAATGTTCATATTGGAGCTTCTGGGCGAATGCCAAGCAGTACAGCATGCTGCTTCCAAATTTTGGTCAGAGTGAATTGCGTCATAGTGCTCTTTTTCTCACTACTGGCCCTACTATGCTGTGCAGTCGAAAAATTAAAAACAACGCGCATGCGCGAAATTAAAAATATAAAATGGCGACAGTTTATTCATCGTATCCTGTATAAGACTCAGATTCTGAAATTAAAAAGTAATGCATTAGCTTAAACAAAGTTCAGTCAAAAAGTAATAGACCTCAGATGGTACTCATACATATGATCCATCGCTAAAAAGACAGGAAAAATGGCCGTTTCCCTGTACCACTCCAGTAAGTACCTGACTCCTCATGCTATTGTCTACCTTTACAAGAGCTATATCAGGCTTAAGATGGAGTACAGGAGCTACCCAGGCTTCACTTTCCATTCTTGATAGAGTCCAAAAGCATCTCCGCATCCTTGTGGTGACAAATTATTTTCTATCCGACATCCCTTTTTACAGCAGACGAAACTTTACAAGCCTCTCATTGCTCTATCACTATGGAAAGTGCTCAGACGAACTAAATTCTTTAGTTCCACCAGTTCTAACCTTCATGGCTAAGACCCGCCATGCCACGCCCATTGTAGTGAACCACCCTCATTCCCTTTGTATTTCGTTAACGAGAAGTAAGCTCCATTCATGCAGCTTCTTTCCACAAACCACTGCTCTGTGGAAACGACCCTCAAGATGATGCTTTCCCGATCACTACAATCTTAACCTGTTCATGTCTAAGGTTAACTGTTATCTTCCCCACATATCTGCATAAACTGTAACGCTCTACCTCGAGTAGCTCCCAGGCCTTGTACAGGGTGAGCCTCACTGTAAAATATACAACACAGAGAATATACCAATATAAACTCAAAGGTGTCAGGATTCTAAATCTCACCTTTAAATTTGTCTCCTTCCTTTTCAATCGTGATATTCCAAGTTTAAATGAGAGCATGCATGCATTGTAGAAGCTTCTTGATGGCTTTCTTAACCATGAACTTTTTGCTTGTTTCATCATTACTGGAAAAAAAAAACACTTGTTTTCTGCATTCCTCCATAATTGTGCAGTATGAGAAGTTCTTGAGGAGCAACCAACTTATTCTCCTCCTTGGAGTCTGTTTGTATTCTAGATATTAACATTGCACAAACCTTTGAGTAGCTAAGAAACTGCACTAAACAGCAAGAACTACCATAGGTTACCTGAAGATGTACAGAAAAGTTTAGAATAGTAAGTCTTCTGTCAGCTGTAATGAGAGTATTAGCCTATTCTTCATTGACAACAGGAGCAGGTTTGCCACTGTGGAGCCTCTCATTAAAGTCAGATTCTTTTTTCATCCATTGATGGCTGTTGGGGGTCAGTAAGGAACAGGCATTTCTTGCCACAGCAGTTGCAGCGGGATATTTGAGAAATTGGATGAGTATAAATTTTTAGAAGCAATCATAGGAAGTTTGTAGTTTAAAAGCAGTAAAATCGACCTTGCTAACCAGACGCTCCTTTGTAGCTAAATTGGTATAGCACGTCAGGCTATATGACACTTCTGTGTAGGATACAGGTTCCTGTCAGAGGACACATATTTTCTATGAAATTTCTAGGACGTTCAGGCCCGTAAATGTTGTTAATACTGTTTATTATAAACAGAGCATTGACTTAAATATTTGTGTCTATATGCATAACAATAAAATAGATTAAAACTGTTGAATGCATCCACTTTCTCAGTAAATGCAGTTGGAACAAAATGCATAACCAATAATTGTTTTCAGGTGCTCAAAACATTTCTCATGTTATTTTGATAATATTTTCTTGCAGGATGTTTTCATCGATCAGACTTTTCTGGATCTTGTCAAAGAAGTACAAAAAACAAAATCGCTTTTTGTAACCCATGGAAGCATTTGGGAACTGGGCCTGATAAGATCAAAACTAATCGAAGCTAGCCAGAAGACGAGAATGGTGCTGGCTAAACCTGATGATCTTGATACCGATAAATCACAAGAGAAAGAAACTTTATCCGAGATAACAGAAGAAGATGAAGACTCACAGGAGAATGAAATCTCAGAGTCAGTAGAAGAGACTGAACGCCCCCAGGAGAATCAAGTTATAGTGATCGTAGAGGAGGTTGAAAGCACGAGTCAGCTCCAAATGGATGCAGCTGGGGAGCTGGATGTAACCTGAATTATTTTCATTGTATATTATATATATATATATATATATATATATATATTATGATAAAGCTAATAAAAAATATCTTTAAATGGTTCTGTAGATTTATAAATGTAAATATGAAAAGCTGAATTCAGAGGACTATTCACGATGGTAGATCAATGTCTATAGAGTTCAAGTCAGTTAAAAACGTGATGCCAAGAAAGCACAGTGCGTTGGTCTCCATGAGTCTAGCATCGGCCGTACTGATGGTGGCTGGAAGGTTTCTCTAATGTGGCTATTAACTTGATTTATATAATAAATATTCATATTTATAAACTTGATTTATATAATTAATATTCATATTTATTAACTATTTATACAAGTAAAATTCATGTTTATATAATTAATATTCATATTTATTAACTCGATTTTTATAATTAATATTCATGTTTACGTAATTAATATTCATATTTATAAACTTGATTCATATTTATATAATTAATATTCATATTTATTAACTTGATTTATATAATTCATATTTATAAACTCGATTTATATAATTAATATTCATATTTATTAACTATATAATTAATATTCATATTTATATAATACTCAAAACTGAATCAAGTGCCTTGAAAAGGAAAGGATTAAATATTGAAAATTTGTTGTGTTAAATAAATGCTTGTTTCATCATTAGGCTGAAAGCCTCTTGATGCAGCTATGAACAAACACACACACAATGCGTAAATTTGCTATATTTATAAAGGGAGAGTGCTCACTGACAGACATGGAGAATTTATAGATATAGACATTGAGGACAGAGGAATCAGTACTGCATAGTGACTGTCTAATTCTTGGTCTTAAGATTACATTGAGGTGTGAAACTGATGGCCAATATGCAGTGTTGATTTTCATGTCCACACTGTCTGTTCTCTCTCATATATTTAGGCAGCTTTTTCTCTCACACTTCTCACTTATAGAACTCCCTTACAGTTCCATGTTTTCCAGTCATCTGCAAAAATTTAAATGCAATGCCAGTCACTATCTACTGTCCACCTGATTACTCTCTTCTCTTTCGGCTCATCATTAGTGTTTCTGTTCCTGATTTTTCCACAACCTGTGACCCCTTATGTTTTAGTGGCATTACTGCTTTGTTTGGAGTCATAAAGATTTAAAAAAAAAAAAAAAAAAAAGAAGTATATATATATAGATATATATATATATATATATATATATATAAAAAGAGAGAGAGAGAGACTAGCAGCGTTGCCCATGCTTGATTCAAAAATCGTAAGACTCATACAGCAATCGCTATCACTTGACTTAAAATATTTTTGCCCTTCCTTGCCTTTAAAGGGAGTGCCCTTTGCCGTGCTGATGTTGCTACATGCCTTACTTCTTGCCTCTCACACTGCGAATTTTTTCTAAGCTCTATAATAAACATTAAATCTGTTACAAAAAAAGAACTTCACAAAACGATCAGCTTTAAAAAAGGACTCGTAATTGGAAAAACCGAATGAAAAAAGAATGTTAACAACAAATACTTTTTCACACCCAACCCAGTTCTGTGGAATCAGAATCAATGTTGAGTTTAAGCAAGTGAATGAGCCAATTGGAGTAAAGTGCCATGCAGATTTAAATTTTTCCCCACTTGTGATGAATGCAGCTAACAATTTTTTTGCATGCTAGTTAACATTCGTGTGAGTCAGCTGTTGGCTCTCACGCTGGCTAATAGAATCTTCCTGCCTATTCGTGGCAGCCAGCTATAGGCTCTCACTCTGGCCAGTAGAAACTACATGAAAAGTGCTGTAGAAGCATGAAAAAAATCGATTATTTCCGCTATTGATGGGAGTTGGGAAATGCAAAGTCAGTCTTGGCCTTCCCACTAACTTGGAGCATGTGCATGTAAATTTTGGTGCAAATCCGTCAAAAATTGCGGCCGTGCATTCATTACACACACACCCTGCCTTATATATATATATATATATATATATATATATATATGCAGACATGAAAGTAAATTCCTACTACGCTACCTACATCACAATACAATAGATGAAATAACATTCCATAATCTAAATCTAATAAAGTTAGATTTGACTTGATTGATTTGTTTTCTATGGTTTATCAACCCTTTGCAGCTTCCCAAATTTTGAACAGAAGAAAATATGAAAAAAAAATAAAAACAAACAAAATAAATTAACTAAACAAATTTAATAAGAGAATAAATTTAAAATAAATTAAAATGGTAAGTATTACAATAACATAAGCAGTCTAAAAGGTCAGGAGTATAAATAAATAAAACGTTAGTCTTTTGCTGTTAGTAACCTTTTATATTAAAAAAGTGTCGTATACTGATGAACAAAAATTATTTTATTTTTAATAATTTCACCCCAAGCAAGGTGGGAATGCCACTAGTATGAAGGGATTAGAGATACTGAAGGTGAAGGAAAAGACAGGGTATAAAGGGGACCGAGGAAAGGATAAAAGATGAATGTTTGGTTTGGTTTGTTTTACGGCATATCAACCTCAATAGGTTATTTAATGCCGGCAAAATTTTTATTGCAGGTAATATTTTGTTTTGTCAATAATCTGTTTTTAGTAATATTTTTCCTTCAAACATATATTGCTGGTAATATTTTTTTTTCAAAAATGTATTGCTAGTAATATTTATTTTTTAAAAACATTGTTGGTAATATTTTTTCAAAAATGTATTGCTGGTAATAGATTTTTTTTTCCTTCAAAAATTTATTGCTGGTAATAGGTTTTTTAAAGTATTTCTGGTATTAAAACTGCTTTTTTACACTTTCATAGTGTTTTTACCCCAGTTTTGGGGTTAACTATTTGCCCATAGCTGGGAAGCTAACAAGTGTTACCACCCCAGGTCAGGGTGGACCTGGGAAAATTACCAATTAAGAGGTGGTTCCACGCTCCTCGAAACCTCCTGATCAGAGGCCTTGCTGCTGGATGTAGTTTATTGTCTTACCCAGGATGCGGACGGAGTTTATTGCTAGTGGAATTGAGTCAAGGGGAGATAAATTTTTTTTTAAGCAAATCACCCCAAGCAAGGCAAGAGTGCCACTAACACGCAAGGGGTTACAGAGAGTGAGAGAAAGAGTAAAGATGAATGTTTGGGAAAAGGATAAAGAGAAGGACAGGGATGAAGGTCAAGGCATCGACTGACATTACATTTGAATATTTGAAGATTATAGCTATCAGGGAAGCAAGTGATAGGAAGGGAGTTCCATTGACAGGAGGTGCGAGATAAGAAGCTGTTGGAGTAGAAGAAATGGCTACATTTAGTTGTTTCGACAGTAAAAGCGTGGGACCGAGATGCCAAACTATTAGCACACTTAAATTCATGTAGTTTGGGAACCAGTGAAAGTAGCTTGTCAGAGCAGTTGCCATGAAAGTACTTGTAGAAAAGACAGAGGGAAGCCACAGCATGTCTGTGGGAAAGTGACTGTAGACGGGATGCCAGCTCAGGACCAATCACATTGCATATCCGTCTCTGGATTTTGTTGAAGACCTTGAGATGAATAGCAGGAGCACCAGACCATATATGGCAGCAGTATTCCATGCAAGGATGAATGGTTGATTTGTAGATTTGAGGGAATTACTCAGGTGAGAAAAACCTTCTGGTGTGACACAGAGAATCAACTTTCCTTGCGGTAGATGAAACTATAGATTCAATGTAGTTGTTCCACTTCAGGTCAGTGATTAGCATTTAACCAAACAGACACAGAGAGGCACTGTCGTGGAGTTGGGCATCAGCCATCCTGATGGGAGGATTTTTACCATTATTAACTTATTATGACATAAGTTATAACCTTTAATGATTTCTATTAAAACTTAACCTATTATAACTTAAGATAACCTTTAATAACCTGTTACAATCCATAACCAATTTCAATTTTCAATAACCTTTAGCATTTAATCTATTATAACAATTTATAACTTATCTTAATCTCTAATAAACTCTTAGAACCTTAATAACTTATAACTTTCTATATCCCATGAGAATATTTATTAACTTATTTTAATCCCAATAACTCATAACCCTTAACTTACTTTAATCTTAATACACTATCAAAAACTTCACTAACCTATTATAAGCATTAATAACAAATTATGAATTTTAATAACCTATTTTAACTCTTAATGACCTATTATAATGTTAAATAGATATTTTAACACTTAATTATCAATTATAAGCTTTAATTATCATGAATAAACTAATATAATCTTTAATAAGCTATTATAACATTCAACAACTTATAACCCTTTGGGTTAAAAATTCAGTTACACATTATACGGTGTGAAATGTAATATTTGCATTCCTTATACTGAAAAACCAATTATTTTAATTTTTTTAAATTTATTAAAAATATATTTGTGACAAAATTGGTATTTATACTTCTATTCAATTAATACAGTTTTTGGTATTGTTTCTTTTTAATGGACTTTCGTATTATTTTTTTCTGTTCTCACTTTATGAAATTTAAAATTGCCATTTTCTTTTTCTTTGCCTTGACTTAAAATTGGTTGGTACTCTCATTCAGTTCGGAGTTTTTCTGCAGGAAGTTGATCTTTTGTGGCATTTACTTTCTTTCTCACAACAAAGCTTAGAAATCTGGAGAAAAAAAATAGAAAAAAATGTTGGAATTGATTTAAGAAAAACAAAATGGCTGCTGCAAAACCTTTTTAAAAAAATCAACAACAATAATCTACACAAATAAAAAAAAAAATTTTTCATAAAATTATTGAAAAACATATTTATATGTAATTACATCAACTGGAAGTAGGACAATAAGACTTAACCATACTGTACCAAAATGTACTTGAGCATGAGCTAACTTCATGTATATGGCAACCCTTGAATTATTTTGCATGAATTTTAATCCTTTCAGAAAAAATTACCTGTGTATAGTGCAAGCATTCACAGAAAATGCATGATTTTTAACCTCTTCCAGAAAATTTACCTGTGTATAGTGCAACTGGTCACAGAAAATGCCAGAGTTTTAACCTCTTCCAAAATATTACCTATGTACAATGTGACCACCTACTTGTTGGTTAAAAAACTGACACTCACACAATACTCAGGTATATATATAGATAAAGAGAAATAATTAGAAAATGCTTTGGTCAAATATGGGTTTGATTAAAAGGTCAGATCACAGAATTTGTATTATTCTTTTATGTGCCATATTCTTTCAACATGAGAAGTCCAAAACTTCCTGCCTTTTGCCATTCTAAGTAACTTTTGATTCTTTAGCTTTAATAGTTTTATAATGTCATCTTTAATTGTTCTATTAGGACAGAGAGTCGGCAAAATTAAAATAAGTGCTAAGTGTTAATGAAGCTTAACGAGTTGATTAGGATTCAAGTGGTAATAAAATTGAGGCTATGAGTCACTTGATGAAATTAATGGACTAACTGGAAATCTGGATAAAGTGACTAGCTTAGGAAAAGGTTGGAAAAAATTCTTCTTATTATTTCTTTTTTTTTGAAGAGGTCACTGAAAATTTTATCTCCTGTTTTTTTTTTTGTGGCCGTAAACAATGAAGGGCCAGACATCCTGGCGACCAATAGTTCCAGACAAGTGACTGACCATTGTTGGAGAAATTAACACACATTGGTAAAAAGGCTACCCGGACATGTGTGTGTGGCCAGGTTGAAACTAACCAGAGGAAAGGGGAGTCGAAGGGTGGCTGATAACAACAATTCTCGGGTGGCGAGTGGCTATCCTGGGGCTACCTGGAACTAGTGGGCAACCAGGATAGAGTTAACCAGAGGTAAGGGGAGTCAAAGGTGGCCAATAACAACAATTCCTGGGTGGTGAGAGGCTGTCCCGTTCGGGCCCACCAATGGGGGTATAAATAAGAGTGTCTACTGGGGGGGGGAAGCGAGAGGGGAATTAGGATTAGTAAGAAGATACAACTTAGTGGTAGGAGGGCTGCCGGCGATTAGCTGTAGCAATTATGCATAAGAACCCTCGGAATAACCCATCCATCTTCAATATAACCAGGGATTTGGGCCATGAATGGGAGAGTTGTTAGCAGAGTTGCACAGAGTCACAAAGAGTGGCAAACAGCAGAGAGAGGCAGGGAGTGACGAGCAGAGCCACAAACGGCAGAAATGCAGAGTAGAGTGAAGTCCCTGAGAGTTCATGAGACAAGATCGTAATAGCAGTTGTTAGTAGGGTGCAGAGACCTGATATGAACCAAGTAGTTGTATAAGTGAGGGCGGATGCAATATTCGTGTAAGAAATTGGATTGACTGAGAGAGAACCTGATATGCAGCCGACTCTCTCTCTCCCACATTCTCTCTCCCTCTCCCCCTCTCTCCCACACTTTCTCTCTCTCCTTAATTTTAATCCTACTTGTATATAAAGACTTGAACTCTATTGAAACAACTTTGGTCTTTCTTCCATGATTATTTTATTGTAATTTATTTCTTTACTAATATATCCTTGTTCCACCCTCAGCACTCAACAGATCCTATAGGTCCAGGATCAACGAAAGCACGAATTTAGGTCAGAAAATTCACAACATCGGTGGAGAGTGGATTGTTGTCACTTGGCCCCGATTGGAAATCTGCCAGGCCTAACAGCCACACTTGCAAAAGTCGAGTGGGTGTTGGGCGTAAGGGTTTATGGGTGGATAGAAACATCAATAATTAGAAAGTGTGAATAAAACATTCTGAGCTAATTGTATTCCAATTAAGAACTCAGACTAGAATATTTACACCTGTAGTATGAACCAAAAGAAATAATTTTAAGTTAATACAAATATCCTCAGTGGGAGAGAAATCTTAGAAGTGCCTTTGATATTTAATCAATTCTTTTGTGGCTTGTGAAATCTTTCACTTGCATAACAGAATTTAAATACATTAATTAAAAAGTTACAAAAGTTGATATGAACTTACAGAAATGAATAACAGTCAGCATTTAAGTATTTGTCTTTCTCTTCCTGTTTCACACAAACAAGAATATCATTTAAATAATTGTGTTTCTCTTGGTTGACATAGAAACAAAACTGTCATTTAAATATTTGAAGCAACAGAGATGTGTTTCTCGTGGTGAATGCTAACGTTATCATAGAGAAAACATGTGAGTAGTGAGGAAATTTGAAAGGGAATAGGAACTACAAGAAAACTTGGAGAATTTAACACTTTCAGGATATTAATGATATGAGAGGCAAAGGGAAACGATTCATAATCTACTTAACAAGTTTGAGTGTGTAGAGAAAGACAAAAAGTTATCTCCCCTTAATCCCAAACTAAAAAATAGCAATGAAAATTAATTATAAAATATTCACGAGAATAAAAAAGTCACGTGATCTGATGAGATTTGCATTGTTAGATGGGAAAGTCAATCGTCCTCTTTTTGCTATATGATGTTATAGTAACAAGATGCGCAATTTCAGGCTTGTAAAAACAAAACAGATAAGTACAAAATTCATATTATTTTTGGTAACCAGTTTGGTTTGGTTTTGTTTTACAGCATATCAACCTCAATGCCAACCAGATGTTTTATTGCTGGTAATATTTTTTTTTTCCAAAAATGTATTGTTGGTAATAATTTCTTTCCCAAAAATATATATTGCTGGTAATAATTTCTTTCCCAAAAATATATATTGCTGGTAATAATTTCTTTCCCAAAAATATATATTGCTGGTAATAATTTCTTTCCCAAAAATATATATTGCTGGTAATAATTTCTTTCCCAAAAATATATTGTTGGTAATATTTTTCTCTTTTAAAAATGTACTGCTGATAATAATTTTCCCAAAAAGTATTGCTGGTATTAAAACCTGTTTTCATACTTTCATAGTGTTTTGACCCCTTTTGGTGGAGGTTACCTATTTGTTCATAGCTGGGACCCTGACAGGTGGTACCACCCCAGATCACAGTGGACCTTGGGACACCAGCAATTAAGAGGTGGTTCAATGCTCCTCAAAACCTCCTGATCAAAGGTCTTGCTGTCGGATGTAGTTTATATTCTTACCCAGGATGGGGATATAGTTCATTGTCATACCCAGGACATTTAGTACCCAGTCTTTTGCAAGTAGATATAAGATAGTAAACCTTGTGTTAATAATTTTGAACATAAAAATTATATATAGAAGTGTTTTTACACAAAGACTTTTGTGTTTTGTTTGAACTTTTCATATATTCATGTTGTCGTATGTTTCATTCAATTTAAACAAAGTCTATGCCATATATCTCTGCACAAAAAGTGAATAGATGGCAGAACAGGAAAAAAGTGGATGGTAACATATCAAAAAGTACTTAGAGAAGCAAAAAACAGGATGTAGTGGAGAGCCATGGTCGACCACATTGTGAAAGGACATGACAAAATAAAAGACGTCAATAGATGTCAGAACAGGAACAAAGTGAGGAAAGTCAGCATGTAGTGGAGAACCATATTTGACCAAGTCACGAAAGAACATTGCAGTGAATCAATGGCTGAACACGAATAAAGATGGTAAAGTGTCAAAAGTTACTTAGAACAATAAAAGTCAGGAGGCTGTGAAGAGCTATAATCACCCATTTTCTAATAAGGCATAACATAAATAGATGAACTGAGATAAAGTATCTCTTAATAAAATAATCTCTATGAATTGAATAAAAAGTTTAGTTATAAATTTCCATAACATTACTAAATAGGCCTTTAAAAAAGACCTCAGGATACAATGGATTAAATACTGTGTCTATAACAATCAAGATGAGGACAAGTTTAAACAGAATAGTTTATAAAAATAATTTAGTGTGAAATTAAACATTTATAATGAACCAGCAAAATATAAAAAAAATTTGTTATTATTGATATCAAATATTTTTATAATTTTTTTTCTATTATTTCAACCCAGGCAAGCCCATAATGCCACTAAGACACAAAGCATTTCTGAGTGTTATAGAATATAAAAAAATATACTATTAAAGAGAAAAGACAATAACAGAACAAGATTTAAGAAGACAGAAAATAACAATAGACATTGCATTGCATTTACATTTTTGAAGATCAAAGTTGACAGGGAAGCAAGAAGCCAGGAGAGAGTTGCACAAGTGAGTACTTTGATAGAAGAAACTGTTAGCATAGAACTTACGGTGACATCTAGCCATTTCAACTATGAAATGATGAGACCTTGCTGTCAATCTAGTACTGCACTTAAATTCATAAAGTCTTCGTACCATAGAGGAAAGTTCATCAGAACGATTAACATGAAAATATTTATAGAAAAGGCAAAAGTAAGCTATGTTACAGTGGTGGGAAAGTGACTGAAGCCGAGATGCCAGGCTAGGGTCAGTAACATTGCAGACGATTCATTGGATTTTATCAAAAATCTCTAAATCTCTAAATATATATCAAGAGCACCAAACCAGATGAGCAACAGTATTCTAATAAGCATTTGTATTATATTTCACTTCAAGTCGTTATAAAAGACAAATCAATTCAGACTAGTTTCCTCATCTTGACTGATATAGTCACAATAGTTTGTGTATTGTATTCTCTATCCTTCTTTGGGTGTCTGTCTCGGAATTTCAAAATTGGAAATGAAGTCGTCAATCAACTGGTGGAAATTGTGATTCCGTTGTCCAAGGGACATAACTTATATCAACCATTACATTTAATTCAACTTTGCAATGTCATTCTTTTATCCACTGACCTTGCATATCACAGTGGGCACAGATTGCAGGACGTAGTCAGATTTTTTTTTGGTGTGGCATTGATGATGAGTAAGATACAAATAAATAACAGTATTTCTTTTAATATTGTCTTGAAATAATTATATTACATTTTAATAGCAGTCAGTAGAGAAAATTTGAGAAAAGATTCTTTAAAATGCCACATTAGGCTTTCAATGATTTCAACTAAAATGAAATCCTGAAGGGTTTACCTATCAGAAAAATATATACATTACTACATTTCTCTATTGGCATTAAAAGTGGCAGTGCATTAGAATTTTGAAAAGTCAAAATAAAGATTTTTCATTTGGAGATTTGAAAAGTCACATTGAAAAGTAGAAAGCCTGAATTTAACGCTTTTACATAATTTTTGTATATTTTTCCTTTGTTTCCATTAAAACAGAACTGGAAATAGATAAAGTTATTTAAGGCGTCATGCTCAGGCACATAATTTTTTAAAGATGTTAGTTACTGTGTCCCCTATTTAGTAGCAAATTCACTTGCTTTAGATTTTAAAATAGGAGTTTAAGACAAATATTTGCTAAATCAGCAATTTTTCAGTGGCCTTACTTAATTGGTGATTTGAAATACATTTTTATGCTTAATGATTAAGTATGCACATTGCAAAAAAAAACCCCCAAAAACTGGAAAGACACAAACAAAAAATTAGTTTTTACTCACAATTGGAAAAAAATAGCAAAAACCAAGATGGCCGCAATGAGTTGAAAAATGAAGCCTGGATTTGTTGTCACTGTGGCAGAGTAAACAGAGTTGTATATAATCGAGTAAACTACAATTGCCAGCATATTTACAAAAGAAGTACTAGCAAACAGGGTCCCTGTGGGATAAGATAGAAAACAAAGGATTAAATATCATTAATTTATTGTTATAATATTTGCAGTAAAAATAATAATTAGTAATAACTTGAAACAACATGGAGATTCCAGGAATGTTGAAAAACTAAGATTATCTCTTACATGTCTCTGAATTACTCACTCTTTTCTTGTATCTTTTCATTCTCTCCTTTATCCCTTCCAATACAAGTAATATTATCCATTGACTTATGACAAGCTCTTCCTTTTCATTTTGCCTATATCTTCTCATCCCTTCCAATAAAACTAATATTATTCATTATTTCATTCATCTGCACTACTTACTCTCACCTTTTGCCTGTATCTTCTCATTGTTTCCTTTATCCCTTCCAATACAACTAAAATTATTCATTATCTCATGATTATGCTCTTCCATTACACTATGCTTGTATCTTCTCATTCTCTTCCTTATCCTTTCCGATACAACTACAATTATCTATTAATACATGCATCTGCGCTTCACTAAACCTTTGCCTGTATCTTCTTCTTGCTTCCCTTATCCCTTCCAATACAATTAAAATTATTCATTATCTCATGATTATGCTCTTCCATTACACTATGCTTGTATCTTCTCATTCTCTTCCTTATCCCTTCCTATAAAACTAATATTATTATTTCATTCATCTGCTCTACTCTCACCGTTTGCCTGTATCTTCTTATTGTATCCCTTATCCCTTCCAATGCAACTCATAACTATGCTGTTCTCTCATTCCTTGCCTCTACACTACTCAAGTCTTTTTCAGTATCTTCTTATCTTTTCCTTTATCACAACAACTGAAATTATTGACTATCTCGTGCATCCACACTGCTCTTACTCTTTGCTTGTATCTTCTAATTCTCTCCCTTATCCCTTCCAATACAACTAAAATTATCTTATGACTAGGCTCTTCTCTCACCCTTTGTCTGTATCTTCTCATTTTTTCCCTTATCTTCTCCAATCTTCATTTTTGTTTTTATTCAATTGTTATACAAGCACAGATTATTTATATTGTAATTTTTTAGATGAGCAATTATCTTTATTCTATGCATTTTCATTCAGACTAGGATCTTCATCTTGATTGTTATACTCAATAAATAAAGATTTTGGTTCAAAATTTCAAGAAGATAACCAAGTATATTGACTGACATCTGAAGAAGGTCAGAAGTACAATCGTCGAAATGCTGTGAGAAAGAAGAGCCTACTTGTTCAAATGGAAAAGCACATATTGAACGCGGATTTGTTTCATATGCAAAAAAGTATAAAGAATTAACAAATATCTTCAATTGTATCCTGCCTTTTATATTTTTGCTTCAAGATATCAATAAGGAATTTTGATGTATTACAGTTGTTATACTCTTCAATGCTTACTTTCCTTTTAGTCTTTCACACTTTGTCATTTTTCATCTCCATTCTCTATCTGTATATTTATTTTTTCCTTTCACCAGGTTTCCTTTTTAGTTTTCTTACCTTTTACCTCTCTTCTCTCTTACCTATTTTTGTTCTCTCTCTCTTTCTTGAATTCCTTTTGAAGTAATATTTTTATGTAAGTTTCTTGGTCAGAAAGTGCGACTGAAGGCTTACAGCCACATCACATTGAAACACCAATTCCAGAGTTAAGCAATGCCAAGCCTGGTCAGTACCTAGATGGGTGACTGCTTGGGAATATCAGGTGCTGTAAGCTTGAATGTGGGGGTGGTGTAATGGATAATGGTTCAGAATTGTTAATCGGAAAGCTAAGTTCCAATTCCTGCTGTTTTTTTTATATTCACTTATGCACAAAAACCCTTGGGAAAGGCATGAATACACCACTTCTCCCCTCAGCTATGGGTTAATTAGCAAGACTTGTATCACTAAATCATTTATTATCTCAAAAAAAAAAAAAAAAAAAAAAAAAATTGCTAGGTCTAAAAATATTTTTATCTTTGAATAACCTTCAAAGCTGTAAAAAATGAATCACTCAATCAAAAGTGTAACTGATTCCAATTCAAGAAAGTCGGGGATCAAACCGATACTACATTTTGATTTGAGGTTAAAAAAAATTGAATCGTCATCCATACAAACCAGAATAGATTATTATCATCCATTCCTATTTTTAATTTTTTTAGTATAAAAAAATAAAAAATATAGATAAAGATATTATATACTAAATAATTAAATTATTACTAATTCTCATTTGTATTGTTTTTGATTGCATTGAAGACACCCGAAAACATTTGCTAAGAAAAAAAAATGGCTGCTTTATTATAGTAGTTGTCATATCAGTGGGCATTTTACACAAAATTTATTAAAATTAGCAATAAATCATTTTTAATGAAGATTAAAAAAAAAAAAAAAAAAAATGAACAAGATTTCTGAAATATTGGAATTTTTTTTTCTAATAATAAAAATGAAAGATATTTTGACAAAATGTGGTATGACCAAAAACAAAACTATAAGATGTCGGTAAGGAAGCTAACTATAATTGTAATAATAAAGACTCTCTACCCAGGGGTGTTGCAATAAAAAGCAATAATGATAAGATGGAATAAAACTACTAATAAAACAATAGTAATAATGATGACTGACTTCACAGTGTTGAAATCAAAAGCAACAATCTAGAAGATGGAATAAACCTAGTAATAAAATGATTGTAGTATTTCTCACCTTGTTCATGTCCTTCAACCAGCAATGACATGGCACCTTCTGTCATCACAGGAGAAACATTAATACCACATCCAACAGCCATTGCTACAAAAAGATACACAAGGAAATGAAAGATTCTGGAATTACAAAGAAAGATGAAGAAATTTCAGCAATGAATAGATTAAATCATCTTTACAGTTGTCATTTCAAGATGAGTGACGACTTTAAATTGTAGTGAATGTTTACACAGTGACATGATCAAAAATAATTTGATTTTGATAAGATCATAGCAAAATAATGTTCTAGTTAATCAAATCTTGACACCAAACAATATAAATATATTTTTCAACCAGCCGGCCATTGTCAGTCTGGGTTGCTGATCCACTGCAACCTTATTTAAATGCACATGAACTGATGTAATATTAATTTAGAAATGAATAATAAGTATTTGTCAAGCATAAAATGTCTCACCAACAAGTAGTGAAATCTTTAAACACATTATTATATATATATATATATATATATATATATATATATATATATATATATATATATATATATATATATATATTTTTTTTTATACACTGAAATTTTTTTTTTTTATACCCAAAGTTATTTTTTTGTTTTGTTCTGAATTTGTAGGTCTGATGAACTAGATCGTAATTATGATTCCAGTGTAATAAATTATAACCATGGAATATTAATGTTTGAGCCTTTTATATTATATTCTTGCTCTGTCTTGTACATTGAGCTCTACTTGAATTTTATCCTCTTGGAAATATATATATATATATATATATATATATATATATATATATATATATATATATGTATACTAGCTGTAACAGAAATTGTTAGATTAAGCTCTGAAACATTGTATTTTAGAAATGATTAAAGATATCTTACTGGAGTTTTTTGAGGTTTTTATAACACTATTGGACTCTACTTTGAGCAATAAGAATGTATAATTACTCTTCAAGCTTAACAAAAGAATCATGATTAAATCGATCATAAATGAAAACGACATGTTCATCATTAATTAATCTGTTGTAGAGTAGTTTTCACAGTGGAGGCTTGTATTTTGCTAAGTCGGTCCTAAAAGGGTCTGACGTACAAAACGTTAGCAACTTGAAATAAGAGTTAATGATGCAGCAATCTAGTTGTGATGGTTGATACTTCAATGTCCGACATTGACTGACTCACTCAACACCACTGAGCTCAACTGGCGACCACTACTACTACTACTTATTATGTGTGGGAGAGTCTATTAATAATAGAATAGGTACGTTCAGGTATAACATAATCATAGCTAAGGATTGGAATCTCATGAAGGCTTGAAGTTCAAATACATATATATTATTCCAGGATCATTTTCCAACTTACTCAAGATGATCTTCATTTTCTCTAACCTTCTAACTTTCTGTCCTGGAGTAACACATTTCCTCACACATTTCATGTATGATTTCATTTTCAAGTTCTTTTTCACTGCTCTTTGGACTGTCATATGTGAAACTCCTCTTTCACCTACCAAATGTCTCATGGATTGAATTAGATTTTTTCTAATTGATATCTTTAGCTCTAAGTTGATATATATATATATGAGAGAGAGAGAGAGAGAGAGAGAGAGAGAGAGTAAAGGTAACAAATCCATTGGTATATAATCCCAGTGGATCCTAGTAATAGAAAATATTAAAAGTGATCCACAAAAAGAGCTTGATGAAATGATTACAGAGCAAATAATTTTCTGTTTATATGTTATTTTTTTTTATTGATTCACTTATTTAAGTAAATATTCTGTTCTTTAATTAAACAGTATTAATTACGTTTACTAGCCAAAATGTGAAATTTATTAGAAAATCTGTTTTCTCTGCCAGAAAATGCATTAAATATTTGTTGGATTTGATCCATTTCCTATATTGTCATTGTTTACATTAAGATACAAAATCAGAACAGATATGATAGGTCGAGAAAAATCAGCAAAAGTGTGTGTTTAAAAGTATTAATTCGAGCTTTGCTTAACTGGAAGTTCATTGTGGCTGAAAAGTTATAGCACGCAAAGCTTATTGGTGGTTCCTCATGGGATGCAGGTTCGATTAAAATGCATTTGAGTTGACTAACATTTAACACCATGATGCATTTTTACCATTTCTGGTTACCTCCCTTACATCGTGGATGTTTGTTAACAAAATCACTGTAGCTAGAATGATTAATTTTAAAATAATTATAACAGCACATTTGCACAAAAATCACCATCACAGCGATCACAGTTACATTAAGTTTGTCTTCACAATTCATCCCTAGGGATGATCTTGGATGAGATCGAAAGTAATTGGGTAGGAAAAAACTATGGTGTCTTCCTTGATGAAGTTCATCTTAACTTCAAGAAAGTGATTAGAGAACTAGAAAGGATCAATATAAAAATAAATAGACATAATATATCTATATTAATCAATGGAAAAACAGGTTTGAAATATATATATATATATATATATATATATATATAAACAGAAGTTTGACACCACAGAACTTATATACAGATTTGAAAACAGGGGAAAGCATTGTTCTCTAAGGATCCTTTATATCAACAATTCGTCAGAATACATTAGTATATACACACACACATAGCTATTTTCGATCCACAAGATTTTCTTGTGAACCTTATCAATTCAGAGATGTTAGGTCCCCACGAAAATCTAGCACCAGTCCTGATACCTTTTAATCAAGCCTCATATATATATATATATATATATATAAAAGAAATATGTTGTAGTGGTTCCAATGAGAGAAAAGTATGTATATTAAAAAAGAAGAGGGTGCATAAACGTTTTTGGTTGTAATGTGGATTTATTGAGAAAAATATTATACTTTGTTTTACATAATTTCACGACATGTGTTTCTGGTCTGGTCTACTTAAACCGTCTTCAGGTGAAAGTGGAGATTTTTACATATTATTAAAAATAATTAATTTTTCTTCATGTTCGATGTGGAATATTCTATATATATATATATGATATATATATATATATATATATATGAGGTATGATATATATATAAAAAGTACCAGGACTGTTGCTATAAAGATAAAACTGCAACACATATCAATTCAGCATTTAATCTTCTTTGATGTAATCCTTTTCAGAACCCACAGACACTTTATCCAGCATCATTTCCATTAATGGAAGCATTCCTGGAACTTCCTTTTTGGGATAGTGAGCAGAGCTACCTTGTCACATTCTCTTGGATTACCTCAATGTCTTAAATCTTATTCAACTGAGATTTGATTTTTGAAGAGGAAAAAGTCTCAAGGGGGTGAGATCTGAGGAATATAGAGGCTGTCAGATCTGGGGAATGTTGTGATTGGCCAAAAACTGCTGCACAATCCATAGTCACTGATGGAACCTCTCTGGTGTAGTGAAATGGCCAAACTCTACACACTTTCCTTCCAATCACTGCTTTAAACAACAGAAATGAACGAAAATGTTATAACTTAGTGTGTATCCATGACAGAGTTCAAGATTTATCTGTGCCAAGCAACTTGATTCTGTGTATTTTAGCTCCATTAACATAGCAATAATTCCGATACTTTTTGATCACACCTTGTGTCTGTGTATGTATGTTACACACACACACACACGTCTGATCAAAAAGTATTGGAATTATTGCTATATATATATATATATATATATATATATATATATATTAGGTTGGTGGGTTGTTTTGTTTTATGGCATATCAACCTCAGTGGGTCATTTAATGCCAACAAAATTTTGAAATAGATTCATGGCAATAGTTTTAAAAAAAAAAAAAAAAAAAAAAAAAACTATATGTATACATATATATTTGAACCATTTTTCAATTACTCATATTTTTGAGTACAATAATGTATTGCTGGTAATATATTTTTTCAGAAATGTAATGCTGGTATAATTTTTTTCTTCAAAAATTTATTTCTGGTAATAAATTTTTTACAAAGTATTTCTGGTATTAAAACTTATTTTTACACTTTCATAATGCTTTTTACCTCAGTTTCGGGGTTAAATATTTGCCCATAGCTGGGACCCTAACAGGTGCTACCACCTTGGGTCAGGGTAGACCTGGGAACACCAGCAATTAAGAGGTGGTTACACACTCCTTGAAACCTTCTGATCAGAGGCCTTGCTGTTGGACGTAGTTTATCGTCTTACCCAGGATGCAGATGTAGTGTATTGTCATAACCAGGATGGTATATATTAGGTACCTCCATGAAAATATCAAAAAATTGGTATACCATAATGAAAACATAGTTTTATCATCAAAGTCATTGTTACTATTAAGAGGAAGGATTAAAGTATTTTTTGATTTAATTAAATTTTTTACACCTTTTTAGAACATTTGAAATTTTAATTAAAAAACTGTTTTTTCTTGTGCCAGCGGTTGTACTAACTTTTAGTATAGCGAATTTTGGCTTTTTTTTTTTTAGATGACAGAGACATTAATTTGGAAATTCTTGCAAATAATTGTTGAATTTTAATGAAAGTTTCAGGACTTATTCACAAATGAATAAAATTATTTTTGAATTTTTTTTTATTCAGCCCCTTACTTAATTTTATGAAAACTTGAGAAATTCACCATGATAAGTTTTAGTGACTATATTAGTTAAAAGTAGAATTCTTTGAAGAATTTAAATCACCAAATTTTTTTGCAAAATCAAACCCAGTCTTACTGAAAATCTGTTCTGAATCAAAAAATAAAAAACACAATAAAACTAAAACATTATTTAATTAGTAAAGCTCTTCATTGCTTTTATGAATTATATATATTAATGGCAATATTGTCTGAAGGAAAAAATTTTTTTTGACGAAAAAAGAATTTTTACAAGATTTGTTTTCATTTTAAATTTTGTTTTACAATTTTAAATTGAATAATTTATAAAAATTTTAAATCTTTTAAAATTCATTTTCAATGAGATAATTCTTAGAAAATATTTCTATTAAGTAAAATTGTATTAACTAATCATATATTTTAAAGTTTATTACAATCAGGTGACCTGAATATTTTTTAAAGAATTTTGATTTGTTTTTGTATGTGTGATTACATGCAGAATTTCTGAAGTATGGATGTACAAATTGATATATCTAGCATTAAAAGGTCACATGTTTTAAGGGTTGTCTCCCCCCCATATTGAAAAAAAAACCCTTAAACTTTATTGTCTGCCATACTTAACTGTGAACATGTTTGGCTGTCAATCAGATGTAAATAAATCAATTAACATGTCAGAAAACAAGACCCCTAAAGAAATGTTCGTATACAACATTTTACGCTATAAGTAATATTTGTTTCAAATCAGATTAATTTAACTTTAAATTTGTTAATTCTCCTCAAATAACATTTCAGTCATATATATATATATATATATTATTTTTGCAGGATTTTTAAAATCGAGAATTAAGTTTTATTTACAAATGTGTCAAAAATGGCTGCTTTGATTGATTTTAATGAAAAGATAATAGATTCCAATCAATGTAATTTCTGTTTGAAATGCACCAAAGTGTATTTTGTTTACAGGAAATAATAAATTTTAAATCCTTTAGCTTTTAATTAAGGCTAAAATGAAAGCTTCAAGCTTTTTCATTTTTTTAAATTAATTTTAAACATTATGTATACCAAATTAGTGGAGGTACCTTAATTGTATATTAGTGCATGCTCCTTAATTCATTCACAGTTAAGATCCATCATGTCATGTACACAATGTCAACTCATCTTCATTTTCTTTGTCTTTCATTGGTAAGGAGAAGTTCCACAGACAACTTCTTCCTTAGAACTGTCACTTTGTGGAACAGACTCCCCGACTGCTAGAATCTTAACTTCTTTAAGTTAAGTATCAACCATCCTAGATGTTCTTATAATATGCACATCTTATCTTCTCCTTTATGCCTTTACAACAGCCTCATTCAGTAACCCCCTACCTTAATTGGCTCTTGGGCCTTTTATTATGTGAACAATAGTAAAAATAAATTTGCAGTTCCTACCTGTGTAGACTTGGGAACTTGTAGTTGCATTGGACAGAAGAAAATTACCAACAATGGCGGAGAGAAGATTAAGAATTATAGACAAAGTATCAGATAAAAAGTACTGGCAAAATTTCAGTATTGGCAGAGTGACAAATGATAATCCAACGCTGGTGATAGTGACAAACATCCCCATCGATATAGCATTCAAGCAGAGGGGACTGTTTATAAGATAAAGATTGAGGAACGTGATTCGTGCGATAGTCGTCGAGTTGCTTAGAAAAAAGATGGTCAGCAAAACGAGTAATGGTAAACGCCGCTTTTTTTTCGTGTCAGTCACATAAAGTAGGATTGGGCTGAATATCTGACTCAGACTGAAGTCACGCTTCTCCTTCAAGCCACCCGAAGGCAGACTCTCGGTCAGCACAAAAATAACGAAGACCAAGTCAATTATGTTGAGGATCAGCAGCAGGGAAGCCGCATAAAGGTGTCCATAGACATGGATGATGTGTCCGTAAAAGTAAGCCAGGATTCCAGCAATCGCAGATGCAGAACTGAGAGAAAAGGAAAGCCGGAAAGTGCGCCCAGGACCAGGGCTTGTAATGTCAGCTATATAAGAACTTGAGGAAGAGATCAAAGCTCCGGGGCCACCTGTCAGACCGTGACATGCGGAACCGGCAATTATAACCCACAAAGGGAGTTTCCACTTAATGGTCAGTACATAACTCAAAAACTTGAGGGTTGAACCAAACAATGATAATGTTATACCAGTTTTACGGCCAAGGTGGTCAGTTACAGGCCCTATAATCAGTCCAACAAACATGCCTATCATGGCTTCTGCAAAAAGAAAGTATATTTGCCATGAAGAAAGATTTTGCTGGATCTGAAAGGAGAAAAAAAAAAAGCATTTGGTTAACAACTTATTAAAAAAAAATAAAAAGATAGGTAACAGTTCATTTATATTAAGTAAAAATAAAAAATTTTTTTTATTACTATTTTTAACAACATCATACAATTCCACTTGTTGTTCCATTAGTTATAAGTTAGTATGTACGTTAAGGCCTGCTGTCCATTACCTCAGATAAATAATTGGTTGCAAGGAAGGATGAAAAGAAAAGATATATCAGAGATGCTATTTGGTTTTAGTGAGAAAAAGAACGAATACATAAGAAAGAAAGGAAAAATAGAGCAAGCAATAATGCACCAGAAAAAAAATACAAAACCTTGTCAATTTTAAATCTTTTTCATTTGTAAACAGTTGAAATTTCTAGGGTATGAGGAGAGGGCTTAGAGAATTTGACACTCAAAGGACATGCTTAAAGCAAGAGGGAACAAAGAGACATATTGAGTAATCTAACGTGCTTGTTTAAATGGATGTGAGAAGGATAGTAATGAGACAAGCTTTGCTGAGAGCTACAAAGGACAGGAAGCTGTGGAGAATCATGATCGTCTTAAAGTGACACAACCCACAAGAGTAGATGATCTTCTGACGTGTTCTCTGTCATATAGGAAGAAAATGAGTAACTACCGACACCTAGGTTCGAGCGTGACACTCTGGACGTATGAATATATGTTTTCCGCCTGTTGTATAAATAGTGATATCAGGCTACTGACTGCAGTGACTATTGAGTGGAACTATTCAGTCGAATTAGTGTGAATTATTGTGCATCAATAATTTGGGTTTTGACTACTATGTCAGCTATCTCTTTTTCATTTATTGCTCCCCACTCTTCCCAAGACTGCAGTATATTAGATGCAATAGCTGACAGTATAGAAAAGACACTTTCTCTCCATCCATTTGTGAACATCTTTGTCTTTGATGACTTTAATGCTCACCATCACACATGGATGAAACATTTTAAAAGGTACTGATATTGTCAGTATACAGTTATTAAATTTTTCCATTACCCAATCCTTCACTTAAATAGTGAACTTCTCTACTTATTTTCTCTAGTCAAACCAAACAGCAAGCTTCACTATTGGATCTATTTCTAACCTCCTCTCCCTACTATTGCCAAGCTTCACAATATTACCCTCTTGGTAACTCTGACCACTCTGTAGTAACAATTGATATCTCCTTCCAAGCATCCATTAAACAGGAACCCCCTCTCCATAAGATCTCTTTGTGTTACCAGCATGCTGATTGGGACTCATTTCGGGATTTTCTTTATGACGCCCCTTGGACTGACATCTTCAAAACTCCCAATTGAAAATTTCATCACAGAGGTTTCTTATTGGGTCAAAGCCAGCATGTACATTTTCATATCTTCTCAAAAATACCAGGTGAAACTACAATCTTGTCTATGGTTCGTGCCCAGCTGCCATAGTAGCACATAGGAACCACTATTTCTGGCTATACCAGCATGACAGTGCTCATCATAACAGGTGCCTATTTGCAAGGTCTCTATTCTCCTCCTCTTCAATCGATTTGAGATGTTATCATTCTCTGCTGATAAAGCTGAATGCTTTGCCCATTAAATTCTCTTTAAATTCTACTCTTGACTCATCTGGAATATCCCTGCCTAACTTCCCACATAGAACTGAGTCTCTGTTGAGTGATATGCATAGAACCCATTCTATGGTTTCTGCTATCATCTTTAACCTTGATCCCCCATAAAGCATGTGGACGCAATAGAATCCCTGTTATAGTTATTAAGTGTGCTCCTAAACTGGCTCCTGTTCTCTCAAAACTGTATAATAAATACCTTGCAGCCTTCTGTTTTACTGTCTGCTGGAAGTTATCATCCATTGTTCCAAATTTTAAGAACTCTGGTAAAACATCTGATCCATCCAACTATTAGCCTAATAGCCATATTATTTCAACACTTCTGGTGTCTTATCAAGTGATGGTGTTTCAACACCATCACTTGTTAAGACACCAGAAATGTTTATTTATGTTATAATTTTTTAATAATATATATATATATATATATATATAAACCTAGTGAACCCAGACAAACCTACCCAGGTTTCACCTAAGCGGATCGTCTTTCCCTGACGATCTGCTTAGGTGAAACCTGGGTTTGGCTGGCTTACTAGGTTTATCTAGGTCTGCTCTACAGTTGTATTGAGCTCTTTTGTTAGTTAGTTGTTTACTCGTGTCGGGGTTTTTTTCTTTGGGCTTCAAACCTGTATCTGTACGATTTTTTTCGACAGACTTTCATGTTTCTAGCTCTTTCTTTTTTAAAACCTTTTTTTCCCTTGAGATTGATTTGATTATTGCCAAAATCAAAAATTCAAGGGTTTTCCGAAACGAGTATAGTTATCTATATTTGTGTATATATATATATATATATATATATGATTAAAGATCAAATGTAGATTGAAATCCAATCAGATTATAAAATAAAAGGAAAATAAAACAAAACTCTGTACAGCACATAAGATGTTAACAAAAAAAGAAAAAGGACTTTCTAATAAACTTCATCCCAAAAACTAGCAATTTTTACAGACAACCGAAAATTCACAAATCGAGTGAAATAAAAGCAGCTATCCAGACACAAAAATATGAATGTATTAACATCCCAAACCCCAGTGACCTTACATTCAGACCCATAGAAACAGGACCAGCCTAATAGAAACAATATTGCAACCATTTACTAAATAGATTAAAAGCTACATCAGAGACGATATTCACTTCCTTAGCTCCATACCAACAAAAGTAGATCCGGGAACACTCATGGTAACATTTGATATCAGTAGCTTATATAGCAACATACCCCATGAATTAGGTAAACAGGCAATCTTATTCTGTATTGAAAAACATCCAGAAATAGTATATCCCAGATTCACCAAGGAATTCATTTATCAGTAGTATAGATCTAATCCTGAATAACAACACTTTTGAATTTGACTATGAAAACTATATTCAAACCCTTGGTAATGTGATGGGAATGAAAATGGCACCAACATATGCAAACCTAACCTTAACTTACTTAAGGAAAACCTCTATGAAAAGACAGAACAAATATATGGGGAAAATATAAAACCCCACTTCACTAAATCTTGGAAGCGATACTTAGATGATTGTTTTGTTTTCAGGGCAATATTAACTAATTACACAATCTACTCCAACGCTTACAGCTGAAAATCAAATTCACCCAAGAACATAATTTTAACTGCCATTCTTAGATGTACTCATCAGAAATAGAAATAACTACATTATCACAGATGTCTACTAAAAAACCTAGGCATCCAATGACATCTTTATTTCAAGAACTATCACCCAAAAAACTGTCTGAAATCCATCTTCTATTCCCTAGCATGTAGGATTTGCATTATAGTGACCGACAAACACTGCCAAAAACCTGCCTAGAAGAATTACATAAAACTCTCAAAAAAAAAAAAAAAAAAAAAAAAAAAAAAAAAAAGGCTACCCCACACCATTAATAAACAAAGGTTTTGAACTAGCACAAAAAATACCGTTAAACCAATGACAAAACCCAAAAAATACAATGACGAACAAATTCTAGGATACATCTCAAAATACAAGAACAATCCAGAACTATTTACAGAAATTACAAGAAATCTAAACCTACTTAACAAGAATGATAAAATGAAAGATATGCTAAAAATAACCAAAATAATCAAAAGCAAATGCCAATCAAAAAACCTAAAACACATATTAACCTCAGCCAAGTTTAGTCAACACACAATACAGGGGTCACAAAATGCAACATGAAAAGATGTGGGGTTTGTGATATCATTATAGAAGGAAATTCTTACACTTTTGAAAACCCCATAACAACAGGTTCTCCTGCTTCTGTGGCATAGTGAAGAGTTCTGTGGCCAGACATAGGATCTTCCAGCAGCCACTCTCTTGACCCAGGGCAATACTGCCTCCTCAAGTTACTTCATGTAGGCCACCAAGTGCATTGAGTGCTTTTAATTGGGACACCATCTCTAGGAAGGTTGCCATTCAAGGCTTGAGATGAGATCTTAGCTACATCATATATATTATATATATATATATATATATTATGGCATTAAAGACAAGAAATTTTTTACTATAGGCCATGATAAATTTTAAAACAAAAACAAGTTGACTGGTTTCATGCTCTCTCATCAGAACTGTAAACGGGAAAACAAATTATGAGAAAAAAGTCTATTGCGGATGACATGAATGAATGGACAGGGAGAGAGAAAAAAAAAATAATAATAAAAGTTATAACACCAAAGATGCTAGAGACACAGCACTGCAAGCCCAAGCAAACAGCCTCTTTGTTTACAAAGAGCGGGTCACCTGGACCTGATGAACAGCGTCTCCAACACCTTCAGATGGAATAACGAGTGTGCTCTAGTCTTTTTTTCTCTCCCTGTCCATTCATTCATGTCATCCGCGACAGATTTTCTTCTCATAATTTGTTTCCCCGTTTACAGTTCTGATCAGAGGGGATGAAACTAGTCGACTTGTGTTTGTGTTTTTGTTTTAAAATTTATCATGGCCTATAGCAAAAAAAATTTCTTGCCTTTAATGCCATAATACGTTTTTATACAGTGAAATTGGTAAAAGCACGTCAGGCTATATGATGGTTCTGTATAGGATACAAGTTTGATTCCTGTCGGAGGACGCATATTTTCTATGACAATTTCTCGGACATTGAGGCCAGTAAATGTTATTAATACTGTTTATTATAAACAGAGCATTTACTTAAATACTTGTATCTATAAAAAAAGAATGTATAAACATAAAAATGTCTTAAAATAATTGTCGGACTTTGTCCATTTCATAATATACATATATTATATATAATACATATAGATATTATATATAATATATATGTAATATCTATATATTACATATATATGTGTGTGTGCGTGTGTGTGTATGTGTGTTGGTCGTTGGTTCCTATAAGAAATTTATCAGCCCTTTGACAGGTTTTGTTTCTCATTCTGTGTCATGACATTCCACTTTCCTCACCAGCAGATAAGTTAGTTGAGGGGAGCTGGTTAAAATGCCAACCCCCTATCTATGCAGCAGGTTGTACTAGATTACATGTTTCCACAAAGTAGGCCTAAGCCTGACCTGACATTAAGCAAAAAAAAAAAAAAAAATTAAATGCTGAACTATAAATACCCTAAAAATATGAAATTTGTGTTTAGTGGGAGGGGGATGTCTTTTATGCCAACAAATATGATATATTGCACATTTAAATAAAACAAATGAAATAAACTTACCTTCTGCTGAAACAAATACTCAGGACTTGACTTGTTCACATTGTCACAGGCAGAAATCTTGGAGAGGGTCCTGCCTCCCCCAAACTCTTCTGTCAGACGCGACTTGAAGTAGAAGTTTGTCAGAAGCTGCTGAAGGACCAAGGATGGAAAGAAGAGGATGACAGCAATCTCAATTAGGTAACACCCCTTTTTTGTGGGTAGGGTTTTGTTTGGGACTTGACTGCCTTCATCTGGTTTAGCAGGGGGAGAGGAAACATTCCGTTTAGAAAGACCTTCACTCATAGTTTTGGTGCTTGAAACTGCCAGTACTTTAAAGAAAAAAAAAAGCAACATTTCGTTAACTTTTATAAATGTCCTACTATAGGTTCTTGCATTTTAAATGCATTAATGTCAGAACTGTCATAAATATCAAAATTGGTGTGGAGGGAACTAACCTCTTTGGGATCTTTTTCTTGTTACCAGAAGATGTTGGCTAACATATGCCTTAATAATGTGGATAATTCATCAGAAAACATAACTGACAATAAAGAGTTGTTTAGTCAAAATGTAGTAACAACAAAATCACAAATGAATGAAATTGCCTGAACAAAATTGGAATATGAACTTGAATTTTTATTATTAAGTGAAGCATTGTCAGCCATTATTCATTTCTGGCTAGGATTTCTTTCATCTTAATTTGAATTGCTTTATTTACACAAGTATTCTTAATTGTTGAAATATGAACTTGAATTTTTATTATTAAGCGAAGCATTGTCAGCCATTATTCATTTCTGGCTAGGATTTCTTTCATCTTAATTTCATTTCCTTTATTTAAGCCAGTAGAATTAATAGTAAGATGAACTTGAATTTTTATTATCAGATGAAGGAAAATCAATGATTAATTTTTGACTTAGTGCGCCTTTCATTTTAATTGCATAAGGAACTGTGGCTAAAATATATACTCATCAGAAATAAAAGCTAAAATATGAAATGCTGAGGATTTTTAAAAATTATATACCAGTGATTGTCAACACATAACACTTATATTAAACGTAGTGAATTCCAGTGATTTTTGCTTGCTTACAATTGACACTTGTACCCTATGGTATTTATTTATTTTTTTAATCATCTCACCCCATGCAAGGTAGTGAAGCCACTAAGACACAAGGAGTTACTGAGTGTGGAAGAAAAAAAAGAAAGAAAAGCAAAACATTAGGGATTGAAAAGAATACAAGAGTAATCAAGAGGACAGTAGATAACAATTGACATTGCATTTAATTTTTTGAAGATCAAAGTTGGTTGGAAAGCATGAAATCAGGAGGAAGTTCCACAAGCGAGAAGTGTGAGAAAAGAAACTGTTAGCATAGAATTTATGGTTACATCTAGCCAATTCAACTCTGAATTGATGAGACCTTGCCGCCAATCTAGTACTGCACTTGAATTCATAAAAGTCTAGGCTCCCTAGAGGAAAGTTCATCAGAACAATTATGATGAAAGTATTTAAAGAAAAGGCACAAGGAAGCTATATTATGGCAGTGGGAAAATGACTGAAGCTGAGATGCCAGGTCAGGACCAATAATAATGCAGATTCTTCTTTGGATTTTATCAAGCATCTCTAGATATACAGCAGGAGCACCAAACCAGATGTTGCTGCAGTATTCAAAACTTGGACAAATGGTAGACTTATACATATGCAAGATAGATGCAGAAGAGAAAAATTGTCTCATATGACACAATGACCTGATTTTTTTAGCAGCTGATCTATCAAAAGATTCAATATAGTCTTTCCACTTCATATCAGCTGAGAATGTTAGACCAAAAAGGTGCAATGTAGCCATGCTGATGGGAGTCAAGGGCTCTTTAAGATGATTAATAGAGAGAAGTTTCCTTTTGGAAGCATTAAAATTAACAAGCCGTTCCTTGCCCCAGTTAACAACAGACTGTAGGTCATTTTTAGGTCACTTTCACCTTATTGAACTGATCAGACTCGTTATTGAGACAGAAGTGAATGGTTGTGTCATCAAAATAGATACGAAATTGAACAATAAATGATGATCTCATCAAGAAGGTCATTGATGAAAATTAAGAATGAAGTAGGTCCAACTTCTCTCTGGAGAACATATGCATTAGTATGAAAAGATCTAGAAGAGTGGCCATTCAAGATAACTTTCATTTCATAATTAGATAAGAAAGATTGAATTAGTTCAAAAATTTCTCTGGAAATATTATAGCCTTTCAACTCTTGGGGAAGACCAGCATGCCAAACTCTGTCAGATACTTCTGAGATGTCCAAAGCAACAGCTTGAGCTTCACAAGTCTTATCTAAAGCTTGATAGCCTCTTTCAGTAATAATCTTTATTATACCAGCAGTTGATCTCAAGAAGTGAAAGCTATATTTCTTGTCTGAAAGAAGGCCTTCCACTGTAAAGTGCTTAACCAATTCAAAATTGATTAGGGTCTTGAGTAGGTTACCAAAAAGAGGTAGAAGGCTAATAGGTCGATAGTTCACAGAGTTCTTAAAGAGGAGTATAAAAGCATCAATGCTAGCTTTAACCCAACAAGAAACCTCACTGGCACAATTCTCAATAGGAAGGTTGAGAATATCAATCTAAGGGGTTTCATGAAGAAAGTTGTGAAGTGAATACCAATCAGCATGCTGGTACTGGAACGAGATCTTATCTATAGGAGGTTATTGTCTAATTGATGACTGAAATGAAATATTAGCATCTACTAAAGTGTGATCCAAATTGCTAAAAGGACAAAGTTGCAAAACTCAACAAGTGGAGAGAGGAGATAAGGAACAAATCAAAAGAGGATGTTGATCAGATTTATTAGGGAAAAAGTAGAGAAATCCACTATAGACTGAGCAATGGAAAAATTGAAAGCAATATCAGTAACATTAGAATGCTTAAGCCATGTGTCATGATTTATAAATTGACCATTTGTCTATGAATTGAATATTTCTGCCATATCTGGTCTGGTTCTTCTGTTATAAGTACTCTTGAAAATATCCAAAGAAGAATCAGCAATGTTTTCTTTAAATTTTTGTAAGTGGTACCTAAAATTCTATAGGACTTGATTTTGTGTATATTAAAAGGTTGGCCACTCATAGAAGTATGGGAAGGAATTTTATAGTGGGGACAAAAGGCATTTGTGCTGAACATGTACAGGGTGGTCTGAAAGTCTTGTCTCCCCTACATAACTTTTTTTTTTTTTTTTTACAGATAGCTGACATGACAGTTTGGAAGAGAGGGTTAGGGTGACAAAACTTTCAGACCACCCTGTACAATTCGTTCTGCTGGGGAAGAGGCTGTCGCTTCCCACCTCATAATTACTGAGAATGTATTTACAAATTTTCAAGTAAATAAGGCCCTTAGCATCGTTCAAGATCCGATTTTACCTGGAACCGAATACTGTCGGCACCATTGGCAAACAACTATACTTGGGTTTAAAAAAAAAGAAAAAGTATTTTGAATTACTTCCCTTGCGTTGTTGATTATATAATAAAAAATAAAATTTAAATAATAGTTCCTTCGTAAGAAAACATTAATTATAAAATCGATTACATTTTATTTCATACCATAATTCAACTTTATAATCAAAAGAATTACGTGTCGATGAACATCTTTTGTTAAAGAATATTTGTACAATGAAACAAGCTAACGTCGCCTCGGCCTTGAAAATGAAAAACAACAACAACAAAAAAAACAAAAAACAACTCTTTCAAATCGCAATGAAATTGAATACAACTTTCAAATTAGAATTGTTATTCAATTCTAATTTGAAAGTTGTATTCAGTTTCAAGACTGAAGCGACGTTCTGCTTTCATTACAAACATTCCTTTTAGGTCCTTTTAGATAGCATTTTTTTTTAAACGTTCGTAACAATTTTTGCATTTCCTTCATTGACATTTTACACCTTTTCCTAATCACACACTTTTTAGTTTTTATAACAAAAAAAAAAAAAAAAAAAATTCAATATTTTTTTGAGTCAGTGTTAGAACTTGTAAAAACAAAAGATAAATAAAAAAAAAACAAAAAAATAACTCGCCTCTTTTTAAATTTGAAAAAGTCCTGCACCAGAAAAAAACCAAAAAAAAAAACCCACAGTATCCGAAGAAACTTAAATCATTTTACACAATAACAATGTTAATCACCTCAAAGAAATTTAACTTTTGAGATTTTTTTTAATTACTTTTTTCTTTTGAAAAATTGAATATAAATATTCTTGTAAATATTAGATTTCAGATATTTTCTTACCACTTAGGTACCTCCACTGAATTTTCGATACCTAAAATGAATTTTTAAAAGTGAAAAACAGAAAAAGCATTCTTGAATATTTCATTTGAAAGTTAAATGCTTAAATTTATTATTTCAAGTAAGTAAAATATTCTGGTGTATTTCAGATAGAAATTATATAGATTGGAATGACAAATATTTCCTCGATTTAAAAAAAAAAATTCTTAAAAGCGGCCATTTCCTTAATTTTAAGAAATTTGTAAACTTAAACAAAACAAAATTATCGGTTTTAAAAATCTTCCAAAAATAAAATATATTTCTGACACGTTATTTGATTAAAATTAGAAAATTTAAAGTTAAATTAATCTAATTTGGAATAAATATTACTTTTATAGCATAACAGGCATTTCTTAACGATGCGTCGTTTTTCTTTGATCTTTATTGATGTATCGATAAGTTCCGAGGTGATGACAGCTCTTATGAATGACTAGAATTTACATAAATTTACGAAATCTAAATGAACCCTCTTTTTTTTTTAAAAAACTACCAAGTAATTTTTTACAAATTTACATATTTTCAGCAATTATTTAATATTTTATGGACTTTTAGTTACGTTTCAAAATGCTTTATGAAATTTGCGTTTCGTCTCTAGGTTCTTAAGCTTAACTTAAACAAAAAATTAATTGAAGTATGACCCAAACTAAAATAAATACATAAAATATTTAGTGGAATAGGAATTTTAAAAAAGTAAAACTTTGAAATTTTGAAGGGATGATTTGCAAAGAATGAAAAAGAAGTGAATAAGGAAAGTTAAATTTCAATGCGTCGGACGACACTTAAATTACGTGAACTTTTTAAGGATTTTATTATGTATACCTTCCCATAGGTAGAAATTGGGAATATTAAAATTTTTTAAAAATATTTAGGTACAAACGTCTGTTATGAGTTTTTCAATTTTATGTACTTTTCACTTTGCAATATCACAAAACTGCCGCCCTGAAGCAATACAGAAAAACGATTTTTAAATATTATTTAATTAAAATTTAAAAAAAAAAAAATGAAAAAAAAAGAAAAAAATTTCTTAAAACAATAGTGTCCTTATCAAAGCAATTAATTTTAATTAAAAGCATTTCTAATTAAATAATGTCATAGTTTCATTGCATTTTATTGTTTTCAATTCAGAGCAGATTTTTGGTGAATGGATTGTATAAAAAAAGAAACAAAGAAAAAAAAAATGATTTAATCTCCACTCCAAGGAGCCCCAAAATCTCCGCCCTAAACATCTAATTTCTCGAAAATTCATGACATTATAATAAATAAATAAAACAACAAAATACCAAGATTTTCTAAAAAAAATTTCAAAAATAATTTCATTCATTTCTGAAAGTTTCATTAAAATCCGACAATTATTTGATTTTTTGCAAGAATTTCCAAATTAATGTTTCACCGGAAAAAGCGCAAATTATAAAAAAAAAAAAAAAAAAATACACTATTGTTTCGACAACTTACGTAAACAAAACAAGATTTTTTTTAAACAAAATTTCCAACGTGCTAAAAAGAGGATTAAAAATATTTAAAAATAATTAAAAAATAAACATTTTGGCGATAAAACTTTGTTTTATTGAGTTTGGAGGCTTTTTTTTCATCATGCTATCAATCTATGCTGTTTTTTTTTTTCGCGAAAAAGTGCAGGTGGGTATAAATAATAAAATTCTTTAAGTGGACGCTTCAAATATGCGATCAGAATATGAGGCTAGAGGAAAAAAATTGGAATCTGAAATTTGTTTCACGCAATTTCGATACCCAGAAAGAAAAATAAGTCAAAACCAAGAAGAAAGGATTTTTTTAAAAAAAACCATAAGTCATCATCATCAGTCGTTTTGACTAACAAGAATGATAACGAAGTTCTTTCAATTGGTAGGAAAATTTAATTTATCAAATCCACTTTTTGTTACTAACACAGGCCTTTTTCGACAAAAATGAATAGTCACAAAAAAGTGTTACGGAAAATATTTACAATGCTTTTTATTTCGTCCAATTAGTAACTGAATATTTTTTTAGCAGTGCATTTTTTTTTTTAATGTGATATCGGGAAGTGGGGAGAACACTATTCAAAGTGAAAGGCTTTTTTTAAAGAAGGATATTTGCAATGAATAATAAATAGTTAAAGAAACGGTTAAATTATTAAATAAAAATAAAGAGAGGCTCATACAAACCTTTTCTTTCTCCTTCAAATTTCCGTCGATGACTTTTGACATACAAAAAATAAAATGAAAAAAAAAAAAACAAAACTTTTCACTTCAGTCCGTGCGGATTGGTCGAGTGAATATAAGTGATAAGGATTTTTTTTTAGTTTGATACTTTAGCTAACCTAGAAATTCCACATCTAATTAAGAAGAAAAAGGAAATAACAGAAGGTAACTTGAAACAGCACGTGCCTGTTGAAGTTTTTTTTTTTTTTTTACAATCTTAGTCACCAAAAAAAAAAGAAAGAAAAAAAAAACAATAACAAAAACACAATTGGTACGTTCTCTCCGGCCACGGGATAGTTAAGGTAGTTGAACTGGTATTATTAAATAACGTTGCTTGAAAAATGACGATTTTTTAGTTGTGCGATTGTTTAAAAAAATAAAATTGTTTGGTAGTCCTACTGACACCATACCGACCCACATTAAAAGATTAGTGATAATTTCAGCATCACGCCAACAGCAGGTGATTGAGGCCGGCATCAATGAGTTCCCACACATCCCATTTAAAAAGAATGCAACTCAATTTATTACAAACTTTGTCTTGCATGGTCACGAGGAAAATATATTGTTTATTACAATCACGACTGGTTAATTAATTAAATTAAATTTGCGAAAGAAAAAAACAAAACAAAACAAAAAAAAAACTATATATAAATAGCAATTGTGTATTCTGTACGCATTGGAGAAAAATAGTTAAATTTAAATGGTGATTCGAAAATCAAGACTATATTTAAGTGCTGAAATTTTATCAGTGATTTGATAAAAAAAAGAAGCGTATAAGTGCATGAGACTTTCACGTTGTAGGCTGGGGTTGTATTATTAATTAATAAAACGAGCCTACTTGTAGAAAGAGCATGAATTTTGATGACGAAAAGAGAATGTCAAAGAATTACAGCATTTAAAATTCTTTTAATGAAAGATTTACTTTCATTATGTATGATATTATGTCTATTTTTATTTTAAACCTCTCAAATTCACGGATCATTTTCTTAGTGTTGTTATTAAACTGATTAAGAAAGGCACCGTAGTTTTTCTCATTTCTTTTATTTTCCCCAGGTACTTTCAATCTCACCCAAGATCATCTCCAGAGGTGAATTGCTAAGACAAAAATTAATGTAATTGATAGTTGTGAAGTTTTTTTTTGTAAATGGGCATGAAAAAAAGATCTTCAGACCTAGATTTTGGTTTGAAGATCGCATGGAGTTAGTAGTCACCATTCAATGTTGACTCTTATATTTACTAACCCTGTGTATATCGATAGACGCTCCGAAACAGAGTACTCTTTCCTTATAACAAATTTGAAACTGTGTGTGCGCACGAGAGTGCGGACAGTGGAATCGCCGAACCGAGTTCCGGTTCATTCTGTTTCGTTCACTTCGCACTCATGTCTCTGGAAAAGGCAAGAAGCTGTCGTCCTTCGGCTATGGGTTGAATAGCTCTCTCTAGAAGGTTAACTGAATTCAAAACCGGCGGAGAAGAGTTGTTTGGAGATTTCGTGGCACACTGTGCATCTCTGTTGTCAGTTCTTGTAAAAAAATGTTGCTGGTCCCACACTATCATTAAATCATCTGTATGAAATTAACTTTTGGGCACTCATGCAGCGAAATTGACAGGAGTCCAATTTGTTTAAAATTTAAATAAATTTGCTATAGGGGAAGAGTGTGTATATATATATATATATATATGAGAGAGTTTACACAATGCAGACATAAGAATCAACACTGCATAGTTACTCGGATTCACGCTTCAACGCGATCGTCAGTCTGAAGATCGCAACGAAGCGCGAAAACGTACTGTCTTCATGCAGTTCTTATGTTCACACACATAACTATCCTTGCGTAAGAGCACAATTACAAAAAGATTTCAAAATAATCAGAAAGTGAATAAATGCAGTAAGAAGCTGATTTAAAAAGAAGAAAAAAAGCAGACACGACAAAAAAAATTAAGATCAGGGTGACATGGGACGGACTATTATGTTAATAAATGATTTGTTTTTTTTAATTTAAACATATGAATAATGGCGTTTAGCACAAAGCATTGGCTGACCTAAAAAATAAGAACAAGAATAAACGATACTCAAAAAAAGAGTTTTAGAAATTCAAACAGACCACACCTTCTAAACAAAAAGACCAGTTGGAAAGTTGGAAACAAGGAATTACGTTGTAGGCGAACTTGTCAGAACAAACTGAAGAGTAGAGAAAGAGAATAGACAAAGACTTCACGGCCAAAATAAATAAATCTCAAAGTGTGAGGTAAAAATATGAAAATCGCTTTAACACGAAACATGGAATTGTGACATTTTTTGGAGATATTTGGTGTCTTTGAAACTTTGCAAAAAAAAAAGGATAAATTCAAAGAATAATCAAAACTGTCGTCTCGTACCCAGACAACAATAGTTCTCTGGTCTGTGAAGATTTGAAGAAATATTTTTTTACTATCAACATGTGCTGTTTCTCAAAAGAAAACAAAGCCATTTTCCGGTTTCATTTATTTATTCTTTCATTCCGTTCTAGTCTTTAGACCGGGTCATAGTCTCGTTTTGTCCGGAAGTTACCGGTGTTAGCCCAATTAGTTGCTTTATAAATAATCATCCATTACATCTTCCCATTCACTTCATATCCGTTAAAAATAAAATAAACATTTGTGAAATGTACAGATGGGACTTATGACTTCATAGAGAAAATATGGTATTATGGCATGTGCAGTAACCCGGATATAAGAGACCCAGATATAAGAGAAACCCGGATATAAGAGAGATTTTCTCTGGTCCCAAATTAGAGCCTGTGTTAATGTATATAAAAAGACCAAACCCGGATATAAGAGAAACCCGGATATAAGAGACTTCCTCTCCGGTTCAGACAAGTCTCTTATATGCGGGTTACACTGTATAAATGTGGACTTTTGGTGAAAAAAAGGATACATATTCGAACGAATAAGTCAGGGATTTTTTTTTTGCATTTCACAAATATGCATTTTAAATAGGGACTACCCCCCAAAATGCGATACCTAAGTTTTAAATTAATTTAACAAAGTGAAAAATCTGTTTTGAAGTTTTTGTTTTAGTTTTAATTTCAAGCTAATGGATTAAATAAAATTTAATATTTCCAATAAGCTAATTTTGGCACAATACTTTTCTCGATTTCAAAAACTATGATAATTTAAATTGATAGGAAGGATTTTTAAAAAATTTTCTGAAATAACTGATTACAGTGTAACCCGGATATAAGAGAGTTGTTGGGACCGGAGAAGAAGTCTCTTATATCCGGGTTTCTCTTATATCCGTGTTTGGTCTAATTTATATACATTAACACAGGCTGTAATTTGGGACAAGCGAAAATCTCTCTTATATCCGGGTTTCTCTTATATCCGGGTTTCTCTTATATCCGGGTCTCTTATATCCGGGTTTCTCTTATATCCGGGTTACACTGTAGCGTCCTTTTCTTTGTTTAGTCGTCTTTCATTGCAATGTAATTCTCTTTATTAAAAAAAATTCCAATAATAAAATATTCTGAATATTCTGAAACTTTATTTGAGGAATATTAACTGATTTAAAAGGATTTGAAACAAAAATACAGTATTTTTTTACTTTATCACAGAAATGCATTTTTAAAAACCCGACAGTATCAGTGTTTTTAACCCGTCAGTGTTGACAACCTGATAACTGCACCTTTTATTTTATATAATTTTAAAATATTCAGTAATCTTAAAAATTTAGGAAAATATTCTCTGTATGTACATGTTTTATTGAAATTTAGAAATGTTGATTATAATTATCGCTCTTAATTTTTGATAATGCCGTATATGGTCGCCAGTAATTACAAGAAAGGGCAATTTTATACAATTTTTTTCTTAAGCGTTTCACCCTAAGCAAGGCGGGAAGCCACTAGCACGTAAGGGATTACAGAGTTGGAGTAAGAGCAAAGAGGAGTGATAGAAGAAAGGATGAAGTGAAGGACAGGGAATAGATCAAGGGATCTGGAGACGTCGATTGACATTACATCTCAATAGTTGGAGATTATAGCTATCAGGGAAACAAGAAAAGCGGGGAGTTCCACAGGCGAGAAGTGAGAGATGAAGCTATTGGATAGAAGAGACGGCTACATTTAACAGTTTCGACAGTGAAAAGGGGAAGAGAGATGCCAGCCAGTTGAACTTAAATTCATGAAGTTGGGAACCAGCGAAAGCACCGGGAGCAGTTGTGAAAAATTTGTAAAAAAAAAAGACAGAGGGAACGGCACGTCTGTGAGAGAGCGACTGCAGACGAGATGCCAGATCAGGGCCAATTACATTGCATTTTATTTTATCAAGGACCTTGAGACAAACAGAAGAGGCTCCAGACCATATATGGCAGCAATACTCCATGCAAGGGCATACAAACAATTCAAAATTCTTTAAAAAATATTGGTGTTTGAAGATTTGTATTAAGCTTTTCCATTCATGATTAGTAAATATAGTTTTCACTTAATCATAATATCATCTAAAAGGGTGAAACTGATACAGTATTTTAAAAGATCTAAAAACTTGAAAAAATTAAAATTTAAAAAACCGAAAACATTTTTTGTAAAAATTCATTATTCATCGAAATTTTTTTTCTTAAGACAATAGTGTCCTTAATATATCTTATTTATAAAAGCAATTAAACGCTTTCTGTTCTAATTAAATAATGTCAGAGTTTTATTACATCTTTATTTTATGATTGAGAGCAGATTTTCGGTAAATATTTTTTTCTTTTTTGTTTGACAAAAACAAATTGATGATTTAGATTCTCCAAGGAGTCCTGCTTTTAGCTAGTATAAACATGAAGAGGCTGAAATTTTAATTTATCGAAATTTCATAAAATTAAGTGCGTGGGGGTAACAAATGTAAAAAAATATTTTTACCAAGTTATTCTAAAAAAAAAAAATATATATGAAAAATAATTTAAATTCATTTGTGAATAAGTCCTGAAAATTTATTTAAAATCCGACAGTTATTTGATTTTTGCGAGAATTTCCAAAACAATATGTTTAACATTAAAAAGACTAAAAATTCTGATACTAATCTTTGGTCTTCCCGCTGACTCAAGAAAAAAAAGATTTTTAAACAAAATTTCCAACGTGCTAGAAAGGATTAAAAAATTAATAAAATAAAATATACTCTGGTCTTTCCTCTTAATAATAACAAATATTGTGGCGATAAAACGTTCTTTTATCAAATTTGTGGCCTTTTTTCAACATGATATGCTATTTTTGAGACGTTTTTGGCGATACTTATTTATATAGTAATTTATTTGTTGAAAATAAGACTAAACCCTTGTGACTAATAGTCTAGAACAAAAATAATATATAATAAAAGAAAAATTAAAAGTTAAACAATAAAAATACTTTTAAATACAGATAAGAATAGTAATTAACAATAAATAAAGAAAAAGTTAGATTATTAAAAAAAAAAAATAGTTAAAGTATAGAATACTCCTACCATGCACCAGAACAAGCATTTTGCCGCCAAATAAAACAAAATTCAAAACTCTCCCTGCATTTTTCAACCGCCAAAGGAGGCAGGCAGCCA